GAGGACAGATGTAGATGTCTATGGGCCACAGCAACCACTTATCATCAGGTGGACTGTGTGCTCGTTTGTCACCCTATCCTATAAAAAAAAAACATCTGGATAGGAGTCCTTAAATTAAATAAAAAAATAATGTTTTTGATTGAACATTCATTAACCTCAAGTATTTTTTATTACAATTATAGGGTATTTGTTTTCAACAATCATATTAAACCAACTTTTCTTGTCTATCTAGTCATATTTAAAATTTACCAGAGTCAGGTTATGGTGCAAAAACACCAAAGATCTGCCTTATCTGGCAGAAGTTCGTTACGTTTTTATTCGTAGGTATATGTTTCCTGCGGTGTGCGGGCGGGGTATTTGAAGTAAATACCCCGCCCCGTAAAAGAAAAAAAAAACAAGTCACGACGCGTCGCTCTCGAGAAAGCGTGCGAAAATGAACCGAAGTTCGGATTTGGTTCAAATCACATTCGGCCCATCTCTAATATATATATATATATATATATATATATATATTATTATATATATCACAATATTGATTCTACGTCCTTTCATTTCGCATTATTGTAGCGTCCACCACTTGTAAGCAATTTTCATCCATTAAACAATTTCAAAGATAGTGTTTAACTCATTTCTTTGAAAATTTACCATATATAGATATACAAATATTCGTATATTGCCAGACGGAGGGAAACCAATCAGGACTCCCTTCCATATTAAAAATTATCCAGAATCCCCGTAAAATACATAGTTTTTAATTCATTCTCCTGTTTAAGGTGACACTAGTCGACATTATTTCCATAGAAATTTCGGAGGGGATTTACTCCGCTGTTTGACAGTGTACATCAACAGTACATACAAGTGACAGTTAAACATGATATCGTTTTGTCTCATTATTAATTTTGTCTGTACGGAAACAGAATAGTAAAATAAAAAGTCATTAAAAAGTTACGAGCTATCAAAGATTCGTTTTTATTGCCAATTTTAACACAACTTTGGGCGTAAATTAGTAATAAAAGCAGTGTAAAATTTCCAAGACAAAGTCGGTACCGACACAGCTCAATTATCGAAGAATTCACTAAATTTTATTTGTAATTGATTTATGCAGTGGTTTTTTCATAAAACCCCTTCTTCCAAAGGCCTTTTCGTATTTTTTTACGCGCGCGTGTTTATATGAATTATCGTGCATCTCACTGAACAATGTTTCCCCCGGTGCGGTGCGGGAGGACGACACTTACACACACATGCATGCGCGGTGACGCGCGCTTATTCTAGTTTTATTCGACTTAGTCAGCTGCGGCCTGTGACGTTCGTATGACTATAGCTATACCTGCGCTCTAAATTACTACGCTACATTGACCCCTGCTTGAACTTTGGATTTCGATACTACTCTGTTTGGCATAGAAATTGATATTATTGAAAGAGATGATGCGTTTTGGACGGCAGACAAAATTTTAAAATTAGATAGCTTTTATCAGAAATGTGTTTTGCCGGAGCTGATAGATCCCCGTTACCCTCGCAAACTACAATTTAGAGATCGAATGTAAATCAAATTGATATAAGCACAGACAAAAATAGCGGAATATAAATAAAATTATGAAAAAAAAAACGATCTCAAAATTTTATTAATGTTCCGCTAATTTTATCTGTACTTACCTATGTCAATTTGATTTACATTCGATTATAATTATATTCTCAGACGTGCAGGTTTCCTCAATATGTTTTCCTTCACCGCCGAGCACGTGGTAAATCAGCACAATTGCAATTAACAATTTCATTGGTGCCGGCGGGGGTCGAACTCGGGTCTGAGAAATTAAAAAATATATATTTCGAAGACATGTGAAGTTCGTCAACACGCATTGAGGCAGCGTGGCGGACATTTTCTTGCCTTAAAACCCTCTCATAAATTAGAGAAGACCTGTGCCCAGTAGTGGGACGTATATAGGCTGTAACTTTACTTTTTTTTTACTTTTATAAATATATCATTTTACCGACGAAAATTTTAAAGAAAAGTAAAAAATAAGCAACCGACAACCTCCTAGGTCCCTAGATGACTTGCGAGATGTCAGTGTAACAAAACAAAACGGCCCAGAAAAACAGACTTTCCAAGTGATAGTTAAATCAGCACGCAACAATTTCATTGGTGCCAGTGGGGATCGAACCCGGGTTGCTCCCGTACTGTGATACTTATAACGAGCGCTAACCATGTGAGCAACCACGGCTCTCAACGACATCGTTCCGTTCGTGTACAGCGCTGAAGATAGCAGATTAAAAAATTAGAGATTGTGGTGTTTGAAATTTGTCATCTATGAGAGTGAATTTTATCTGTGTACTCTGTAACAAATAACTATATAGAAAAAGAATGTGAAAATGACATTTCGCCATTTTTGTTTGTGTACTGGTTAGGAACTCGATCAAAAATTTGATAATTTTTCTGTTTTTATACGTTATTTCTAAAAAAAAGTGAAAATGACTATTCGCCATTTTTGTTTGTGTACTGGTTAGGAACTCGATCAAAAATTTGATAATTTCTCCGTTTTTATACGTTATTTCTAATGTTATTTTACATCAAATTAATTGTGAAGATATTTTCTTTTGGAAATATGTATCATTACGACGATTCAAAAACGTTTACATATAATAATTTACCTCGAAATTCGCGATTACCGTTTATTGATTATATGTTGTTTAAAAAGTATTCTTATCAGTTTTTTGTGTTAAATGGATGCTAAATATAAAAGAATGCTTCAGTATTGATAGCAATTTATTAACGAAATATCTGTTGAGATGTGTCTAGAAGTTATTAATACTTATATTTATTTATTTATTAAAATAATAAATAAATAAAAATAAGTATACATTTATCTATATTGAGTACTAGTTGTTCCCCGCGATCTCGCCCGCGTGGAATATGGATTTCATGGGTTTTAATTTTTTTGCGCGGAACCCTAATTCTTTTTCTAAAACAAAAGTAGTTCAAGTTATTCCTTATATCATCAGCTATCCGCCAGTGAAAGTCCCATCAAAATAGATCCAGCTGTTTCGGAGATTAGCTGGAACAAACAGACAGACAGACAGACCGACAGATAAAAATTTTAAAAATTGTGTTTTTGTTACTAGTACTTTCATATGCATTTAATAAAAAGCTGTTGTTTTAACATTACAAACAGACACTTCAATTTTATTTATATGTAGATATAGATATAATATATTATTCATATTGGTGTCATTTTAAAGGGAATATCATGTACTATTATAATAATAAAATAATTGTCTCCAGTAAATATTATACTTTTCTTGTAAAACTCGAAATAAAAAATAAATACCATTTATTTTTATATTCCCATATGCTTTATTTTCATCCTTTATTTTTTATTTGACCAATTTTTTTTTAATAAAATTAAATTCTGAATTCGTTGAGCTTTTTGAGAATATTTTTATTTGAATGTTAGGTAGGTACCTATATTAGATTTTCAGTAGTAATCGTTTTTGTTGCGACAGTCTCGCGCGGTCGTAAAAAAAAGTTACTGCGCGGACAGGTGGGACGAGAATCACTTGCGCGGCGTTGACGGTTCGGTGGATAGGTACCTACCTAGTGTTCTTACCTAGATACCCATAACCTACTATACAACAAAATTTGAAAAACTGTCGCTGCGTCGTGGACACTAAAATGTAAACTGCCTACCTACCTGCCTATGTACGTCGTTACTAAGGAAACAGTCTTGACGGGTCACTTATCTTGATAAAAACATGTGTTTACATCTAGTGATATTGTGTGTATATAAAAAAAAGTAAGAAGACAGGTAAGTATTTTTGAAAACAATTTATAGGTAGGCAGAAATAATTACAATTATTATCTAAATATTATAAATGCGAAAGTTTGGATGGATAGATGTATGTTACTCAATCACGCCAGAACAGCTGAAGGGATCTGGATGATATTTAGCTCAGAGATAGGTTATACCTAGTCTGGAATAACACATTTGATACCGTTTATTCAGGTATTTTGTTCCTGTGGGATAATTTTCGAGTTCACGCGTTTGAAGCCGCTGGCAACAGCTAGTACGGATATAAACTGCGATGACTGTTCCAGTTCATACTTCGGCGTCGTGAACTCTTGAGTGATCGCTGCATGACCACCCGGGGGAAAACTAAACATAATAAAATAAGCAATCTATATTAGGTATCTATAGAGCCATAGAGGTATAGTATAATGCGATAACGCAGCGCCCAATAATTTAGTACGAGTGGCACGATGCCAGGTGAGACAACGTGCTTTTTGGCCGCGCCCACCAATGAGTTCGAGCCCGCGACTTGTGCCACCTAAGCAATTCCTTTGTATAGTGCGACGTTGCCACTCTTATTAGTTATTCCGCTTTGTAATATTTTATTTATAGGTAATATTTTGTTTATGTAGGTATTCGATAGATTCCTATAGTCTGTTTTTTTGCAGGAGACAAAAATAACAGATATTTATTAGATTCGTTTAGCACGAATAATACAGTTTTTATGATTCTGGTTCAGATTAGATTTAATTTTAGTCACTTAAATTTCGTATATTGTTCAAAATAATGAAATAAATCCACAGAATCTGCAGTTACGAAAAAAAGCAATATCATTTTAGTCTCCGGCGAAAAAAAAAGATATATATCATGATTAATTTACCAACTAGTTATTCGTTTACTAAATGCGAAAAAATATTTAGACGTCATTTTTCTTCCAATCTTGCTGTACTGAATATTTACGTAGTCCTTATATTAATAATTATAATTGCATAAGTTGATACAAAATGCTATGCAATAGCTTTACCGCGGCAGTCCCCGAGTGATACACGTCTTTTTTTTTGTTATTTCTTTCTGCCTATTTGAACACTAATTATGGAATAAATTAGTAACTAAACAGGTAGATCGTTTTCGCTTTGCTCACTGTGGTATGTGGGTATTTTTTTATATAAATGATATGAGACGTATATTATAACTATCAAGTTGACGATTTTTGGATAGTTAGTGACCCATTTTTGTATGTGGATAGTCTGATGGCAAATTAGCTGTTACTTCTTGGCATAGATCTTTGTAGACAGTCACCATTTTTTCTCGCACCTGGTTTGTAAGCTTCTCCACATCGTCTAGGTTTAATCCTTTGGTAGGTATAGGATCCAAACATTGAATGACAATATGACCTGAAACAGAGATTGTTATTTTAGAAAAATTGACTCAGAAACTGTAATAGACAATCAACTCATTTTCATTTTTGTATCCCAATTAAAAATAACACTTCATTCATTCACTTAACAATCTGATAGTAAGTAAGTGTGTATATTCATTAGTTGTCCTTAAAACAAACATAATATAAGCTATGTATAAAGACATTAATTTAGATGGATTTTAGAATCAATGTAAAGCGAATCTGTTTAAAATATTGTATAGTACACTATAGCAAAATTGAGGAGAGATGTTAATAATTGCAAAATAATTTCAAATAATTGCAAATATACGCTAAATACACATCTAAACTCTAAAGCTTTATTAGGCGTGTCATTCCTCTTTATTTTTTATCGGCCCATAATGAACTGAACCTCTCCAGTTGTGAAATGGTCAAAGTTGAAATATTTTTATTTAAAATCAGTCATTACAAAGTCCTTGTTGAAAGTCAGTTTAGAAGCGACGAAAAACCTTCAATTGGACCATTTTCTCGCATTAGTTACAAATTACAATTTAACATTTTCGTAAGTCCTCGGATTTTTTTCAATCGCAACAATTTGAGATCGCAATATAACCCTTATATCTCATTAATAAGAGTCTATTAATGAGATATAAGGGGAAACGTGATAACCATTTTACTAAATGTCAATCTCATTGAAGGTGGTTTTTTTTTTGGATTGACGGGCGAGGTTCAGATGACCGATTAAATTCAAAAGTACCTTACTCAATTTCTAAAGAAGCTCACCGCTTACATTAGCAGTGTGCGGGTATCCGCTCTGATTTCACCAGTTGTATAGGCAACTTTAATAAGAATTGCAAACTTTTTGACGCACTATTTAAAAGTTTTACATATCAGTAGTACTTAGCAGTGGCCTTAAGGAGACCGACGTTGCAATATCATGTCTATTATATTATTACTAAAGAACATTTTTTTGCCTTACCTTTATTAAAAATACTTTTTTCATAATTTATAAAATAGTATGGTGAGAAAACAACAGGTATGACTGGGACTTGAGCAGCAATAGCCATATTGAATGCACCTTTTTTAAAAGGCAAAAAACTTGTGCAATGTTTATTACGCGTACCTTCAGGAAACACCCAGATCTTCGTCTAAAAGTAAAAACAAAACTAAATTAAAAATTTTAAGCGAAATGTTTTTACCTGTGTACATAATAAGTTAATACTGTATGCATTAATTTTATTCAACGATACGGATTACTCAAAACTTTATATAATATAACCCATGGATAGTAATGTGTAATATGTTTATTTATTGGTATATATGATTCGTCCGACTCGTATGCTAATTCGAAGCTCCGAAAACTTTTAGTTCAAATTTAAAAAAAAAATCAGCGTATACAATTCTTACTCTCAAAAGTTTTGAATTTCAGTTCAAAAAGTTGTCGGAGCTGTTAGGCATAATATCCGGATATATTTTGTCCGGCGATATTTTTATAATTAAATTTTTTAATTTTTACAATATTTTTATTACATAAGAAAGCATTTTCCCATAAATAGTTCAGCTTTATCAAGAAAAGCATTTTCATAGTTTGAGAATACCAATTTAAATGATCATTGTTTCGGTTAAGGGAATATTGATTACATTGAGATCGAAGATCCCTTCGTTAAGATGTATTTTACTAATCCGTTCATGAACAGCCGTGGCGATGAATAGGGTATTATTACCAATGACGAATTTAAATTAAAAAGTATAATTAAATTACGACATTTCTATGGGCGTTAGTGATCATATTTATATACTCTGTTTTTAGAATAAGTATGACAATCGAGCGTAAAGATCACCTGATGGTAATTGGTCGCTGTGGCCCATAGATATCCACATTTATTCTTGATTACGAAACAAAATGCTGATGCCATTGCACCCGTGAGAACTAAGGTGGAATACCTCGTTTCCAGTAACAAGGGTCTCCGGTTCTCTACACTCGCCATACGAAAAGCAGTGTTCACTCTATTTTACACTGATAAGTGTGTAAAATAACAGCTTTATTTTACACTGATATTCTGTGAGATTATCATCCTTTCTCGGTCGAGCCGATCCATTCCTGCTACGACTTTATTACTAATATAGTTGCAGCATGACTCTACCACATAAAGCCTTTTCTTGATGAAGGCTTTCATCCAGAAAAATGCCTCTCCTCATTTCTAAGTCGATGAGAGAGCTGGAGAGAATTTTAGGCGTTGCGGTAGTGCGAGTTGACCTTATATCATGTTCTCGAAATAATTGGAATTTATATGTTAAACATATTATTTCTTCGTGATTTTTGATAATGTTAACGATTATGATTTACGATTAACGATTAAGTTATCTTCGCTCAACCACAGATAAAATACAGATAATAGATTAAATTCGTTAGCGATATTTAACATTGAATCAAACTTATCGCTACGTCTTTAAACAATGACGATGTTATTGACAATTTCACAAAATAAAAATGTAGACAACTCAGATGAAGTAAATGAGGTAGACACATACTTTTTAACAAATGTGATTATATAAATAATATTTTTATATATAAATAGTTGACCGAAATTTCAACAATTTGGGGATAGGATAGATGTTCCACATTATATTGCTCTTGATTTTTTCACTCTTATCACATTCTCATTCACGCCCACCTATTAAGCGTACACGTATCTCGCCTGCGTAAGTAGTTTGTAAATAAACTATGCTGTGGCGGTACTGTCGTTGCGAAACTCATAGAAGCCTAAATCACGCTACTAAAATTCAGAAGTACTCTGGCATATAAAGAATTGCTTTGTTTGTGTTGCAAACTGTCGTTAATACGCGAACTTCTCGTCAATAAACTTGCGTTAGGCCTATCAAGTCCCACGCAAATCTATACTTAACTCACACGTACTTATAGAATTCCCCTATATGAGCTCCAAAAAATTCAAAATAATTTACCAGAGCTTCGGTGGTATCAATGAAATTCCAATTTACGCAGATACTGTGAATGTTCTCTCCGAATACTTCAACGAAATGTATCATGGTATTACATTGATAACGCCGAAACCTATTGTAACCCGCTAGTGGCAAACTTAGTCAACTATGTTGAAATCACAAACGTTGTAACCGGTTGCATGCTAATGCTCCTAATGATATCATTCATATCTTTCATGCCTCCTTTTTCTCATGACACTTTCACTTGTTCTCTTGTAGACGAAGACCAGATACGCTAAGCACTTTCTTTTATTAAATCGAAAGGCATTGGCTGTGATGATGTGAGTAGGGTAATTGTTTTGCACGTGTTGGAGACTATTTTAACTATGACAACTCAATCAATAACTTCTCGCTTACAAATGGTGCTTTCCCAACTCTCTGGCGTAAAGCCTTTGTTACTCCCATACCTACACCGACTGCAGCACTATATCTAATTTTAGACCAATTTCTATCCCGATTTTTCTTTCTAAGTTTCCGGAAAGTTGCTCATAAACAGATTTCTTATTTTGTTTTCTCAAAAAATATTCTTTGCTCTCATCGGTCGGGTTTCCGCCCTGGTCATTCGTGACGGAAGATATCCGTGTGGAGATGGAAAAATCCAAATTGGCCTTTCTAAACTTAAGAGAGTTTTGTAACTGTTGTTCTGTTGATTATAATGTTTTATTAGCTCTTTTTTCTCATTTGCATATCTAGTCTTCAGCTCAGGAATGGCTCTCTTCATATCTTCGAGGGCACCAATAGGCCTTGCGTACTGAACATAAACTATCTGACTGGTATGATGTGTCTGCTAGTGATGAAATTGATAAAAACGGAAAACAGAAGAGGAAAGATAATACCAACTAGATTCAATTATTATCTCTCCTCTTTTGTTTCCATTCTTATCAATCTCCTCACATTAAATCTCAAGTGCTATATTACCATCTCTATGCCGATGATTTGTAGTTATTTGAGCAAGTGGAAACTTCAACTACTGATAGATTTGAAAAAAGAATTTAAGCAGTCGAAAATGCTGAGCTAAAATATCGTCTCTTAAGGCACAGATGATTAATATGGAAGCAGAATTTAATGAGAAATGATCATTGGATTTGATTAAATAACGTCGAAACGAAGGGAGTACTTTTTAAAACTGGAGAGAAATTGACATTGTAACTAAATTAGGATTTAAAATAACTAATCCCATATTGGAGATTAATACTAATTACGTAACACGTGTACAGACGCGAGATGCTGGGCCTAACAAGACCAAGGCTATTATTCCTTTTATTAGCAACAAATACATGAAAAGAGATTTCAAGATTTCATTGCAGCTTCAGCGCTATCTTCGAGGGGTATCTCAATATTAAATTATGATTTGAAATACATCTTTGAATGGTCCACTGTGTATGGCACAAACGTGAACCCGTCTATACCAATCGATAATTTTAGGTAGCCCAAGATTATTGTCTAAGCTAGATTTTTCCACCTTACCATTACTTGTTTAGTAATAAAATCATACCATTTGCTCCCATGTATAGTATCTTGATCTATGGGTTGATGATTAGGCAATATGGAACAAATATATATTGGAATTTTGCGAGCTCTATATCGATTAAAAACATTATTCCTACCAATACTAAGATCCTATTGGTCCTGTCACTTATTCTGACAATTGTCGATAAATGTTGTCTAAACATCATCTTAATACATTGGATCGTCTGCTTAACAACAACATCAGATACATTTCTTCGTAAATACGACCATGTCTGCGCAGATATGTTAGAATAATATGCACTTTTTCACAATTCTGAACGATCCATGTGCTTTCGAGTATTTGAAATCCAAATTTCAATAACTGGGAGATTCTAATAACTGTTCTCTCCGTTCATCGGGTTATCTTAAGTTGCTCAATCCTTTACACAATAATGGTTACTTATCTCACTCTTTCACCCTCACGGCCATTAGACTCTGGAACGACATCCTTCTTGACATTATAAAAGCTCCAATCAGTTTGTTTTGAAAAATAGAGTCTGTAAGCATGTAAAGTATCGTTGCAAGTTGACTATATCGTTGCAAGTAAATTAATACAGCTCGTACTTTCATATATATTTCATATTAGGTCTGACATGGACAATATTTATATGTAATAGGTAGATGAAATTTTAGTTATTGTCATTCTTTTCTATTTTGATTACTGCTGTACCCCTTCTTATATGTCAATCACTGTTTAGCTAAATAGTTCACTGGAAGAGAATGCCCTATAGCATTTAATACGCCATATGCATTACTTTGTGTATAAATATTTTAGAAATTTCAAAGTGCACGCTTCATGCAGGTTTGATTTTTGATGATAAATATGCATTGAATTCCTGACTTATAAAATATATTATTTAAGTGTTTTAAATTTAACGTTTTATTATTTTAACAGATAAAAGTATTAATAATGTTTAGAGAAATAAATCGATTACACAAAGCATAAAATCGATATAGGCTGTATTGTACATTTGTTGTATGAAAAGGTCTTTAAACTTTTAAAGCAATAAAACTTATTAAAGTTGAAAATAATTTTATTTACAAACTACGAATACTAGGCTACTGATATGAAAAAGGGAACCAGTTGAAGTACTTAAGCGAATTAAAAACCCGATCTCGATACGTCAGTTTTTTCGAAAATTATCGTGGCGACATTCAAAATCCACACACAAAATTGCGTGACCTTGACATGTCGTGAATAAAATACTACCAAATAATACTTCGCGTTAAGAGGGGTGCAATTAATTAAAACATTTTATTAATTTATAGGTACAACACGGAATATTGGCCAATCTCTGGGCTGAACACCATGACCAGCGGGAGATCTCTCTTTTTCCTTACAAGGCGAAAGTCACAACATAATTTAATTTGCAGAATGAGTAGTAATAATTTATAATGTATGTCTGTCAGAGGGCGCCGTGGAAGTTCAAGCCTAGGGCGCTGTCTTTAATCTGTCTCCGCCTACCTTACCATCTAACCAGCAGCAAGAGACCACGAATCTCACCACTGGCAACACGCGGCAGCGTTAAGTAAACTTGTCGCATGTTCATGAACCTTTCTCGGTTGTATGACTCTTTTTTGCCTTCCTATCTCTGCTACGAAGCGTTAATGTTTGCACTACTGTGTTCCGCTAAGAGGTAACAACAAATTTTTGTAGCCTTCTTTGTTTGAAGTTGGCGGTGTTAATGGGCTGCAGTAACCACTTACCATTAGATGGACTGTAAGTGAGTTTGACCTTCAATTTTTATTATAGTAATATTATATCTTTAGAATATAAATATGTATTTACAAACCTTTTCTTTCACCATAACGTTTGTCGTTATTTTAAGTTGCTCATATGCGTGTTTAGAGTTCTTTCTATTCTATAAATACGATTCCAGAAAGGTATGCCATCAATCCAAACGGAAAGGCATACATTAATTCTTTTTTAGCAATGACTGTTAATTTATCAACCAATTCCCAGATGTTAAACAGTCCTGAAAAAAATGAAAATGATGTGTTTAAGATATTTTCTTGGGAAAGATGTTACGACTTTGTGGTATAAGTTAGTCACAGAAAACCTTACATCTGTATTAGGTGTTCTGTGAGGTTAGTAGTTCAGTCGTACTTAATATTTACAAATATTTTAGGTTTGAGTGAAATATAATTGAGATCGTTCTATGTGAATTTCCATTTTTCAATTTCGATGGTGAAATGTCTGGTTAGGATGGTTGCAATCGTCTCTTGCTAATGTATGCCTTCAATCATTGAAGTTATTCTTAAACTAATCATCAGTTAGTATAGTCATTGTTTGACCACAATCCAACCTAGTGGTGAGTGTTGATAAAGCCTTAGATTAATTATAATATCATAACTTTTTATCAATAACGTACCTAAAATATCGAGAGATGATCGATGGTTTGAAACAATGATGGCTCCACGTTCCTCAGCTAATATTTCGCCTCTACGTAGCTCCCATTTTAGGTCATACAGTTTTGTTACATGTTTCAAAATAGACGCGCTGAATCTGTCATAAGCGAAATATTATGGTTCAATAGAAAAGCTCTGGATAATATTTTTACAAATGGATGTTCACGATGTCATGATGGCACGCAAATAATCACCTCCTGAGCTCGATAAAAGGCTGTTATTTTGACATTACAGACATACACTTCATTTTTATTTATATCTATAGATATCTAGTACTCGTTAAGTAATTTCGTCATATGTCATAATATTGTTACGAGCTTGACAATAAAAATGGTTGGTTCGTGACAGTAAAAATTGCCGATAAAATTACCTAAATTAACACTTTAATTTTCTTTACACAAATTTAAACTTAAAACACTAATAATTAATCACACTGATTCACATTATTACGATCCGAAGCTTCGCTTGTCTCGCCAAATTCAATAGCTCCCCGATCGCGCCTTGCAGCGCCTATAAATACATATTGGTACCGAATCATCCAGAACATTCAAGTAAATACGCGCACCAATCGACAAAGCGCCGAAAGTTCGAGAGTCAGCTTTCAGAAGCTTAGTTCTTCCTTTCGACAACAGATGGCGCTGTCGGTTGAAAGATTAGTGATGTGATTTTCTGGAAAGCTCTCCCCTCGCTCCGTTACCCGACACTAGATGGCGCTAGTGCCAGATGTCAACTTAGCCGCGCAACACTCCCCCCTCCTAAGACATGCTCGTCCCGAGCATTATCGGCCCCATAATAACGCGTCAGGCGATCCACATGGACGATCTTAGGAGTCCCTCTTGCGCCCTTCTGTATCCGATAGGTTACATCGTTGATCCTGGTCACAATCCGGTACGGGCCGTCCCATTTAGCTTGAAGCTTAGGAGATTTCCCTTTGCTGCGGACCGGATTGTGCAACCACACTAGTGAACCTTCGTCGAACCCTTTGTTGTTCATTTTGCGGTCATACCGGGTTTTCATCTTTTCAGACATTTGCTGGCCCGATTGTCTGACGTGTTCATAAATGTCATTCATTCTGTTCCGCAAGTCATTTGCATAATCGGTTATACTGCGTGGGGCATCAGGTGGAATCCCGGTGATCAGGTCTGCAGGCAGCCGTAATTCTCTTCCAAAGTTTGCGAAAGCTGGTGTCACTGATGTACTTTCGTGAACAGCGCTTCGATATGACAGCAAAAACGGTTGTATGTTCTTATCCCAATCTTGTTGCTGGTTGTCTACAACTTTTGCTATGTAACTCTTCAATGTCTGATTAAATCGTTCTACCATTCCATCAGATTGCGGGTGATAAGAAGTCGTTCTCGTTTTATGAGTACCCATAACTCGGCCATAAGTTCCTGGTTAACCATAGTTTCCTGGAATATTTGAGACTCAAAATTCCTTCCTTGATCGCTGTGAATCTCTAAAGGTACTCCAAAACTACAGAAGACTTCATGAACTAGTTTATCTGCAACTGTTGAAGCTTCTTGATTTTGAATTGCGAAGACTTCCGGCCACTTAGTGAAGTAATCCATCACAACCATGAAATACTTGTTACCGCTTTCACTCTCCGAAAACGGCCCCGCCACGTCAATGGCTATTCTCTCCCATGGTGCACCAACATTGTACAACTTCAATGCACCTCTACTACGAGTCTGAGGTCCCTTTACAGCCGCACAACTTGTACAATTGCGACACCAGTCCTCGACATCGTTTCGATAGTGGACCCAGTAAAACCGTTCTCGGATCTTCAGTAGAGTTCGTTTAACTCCCAGATGGCCTCCGGAACAATCATTATGGTACAGCTGTAGAACATTCGGCACTTTAGCCTTAGGGACAACCATTTGCAAACGACAGTGGTCTCCTCGACCATTGTTCCATTTACGGCACAGGACTCCATCTTGAATCAGCAAGCCGTCCCACTGGGCCCAATAGCCTCTAGTGGTCGAACTCATCGCTGAGACGTCGTTCCACTTAGGCTTGGTAGCACGGGTTTTCATCCATTCCAGAATCGGCTTGATGTCCGGATCTTCCTGCTGTGCATGTCGTAGCCTGTCCTTCCACTCGTTGCTGAGGTGGTCCGTCCTGAGCATCCTCACGGATATTACTTCATTACTATTTTGCCTAGTACAATGTTTCCAATCTTCAGGAAAAGGTCTTCTTGACAATGCATCTGCGTTGCATGAGATTTCCCGCTGCGATTTCTGATAGTAAAGTGTTACTGCTGGGCGGTGATGTTAGCCGCACTTCCCCTCTGAGATGTTCACCTTCCCTTTTAGGGTGGGGGTTGAGACTTTGGGCTATCCTATTGTGGTCACCTAACTGCTGCAACCTCCCTAGCGTGAGGGGAACGACGATCCTGCCACTGCCAGGTGGTGCCGTTAGCTGCACTACCCTCTCGAGACCGATCAACTTCCCTTTCTACAGTTCGCTTAGGGCAGCTGGAGCGAAGATGGCCCCTTTCCCCACAGCCATAGTACCTAGGGCTGTATCCTTTGTGGCGGTCGTGAACTGTAGCTGCTGCAACCTTCCTGACGCGATGGGGACGATGATCCTGCCGCACGGCTTCCACCTCCAGTGCATGGGCCAAGGCGTTAAGCGTCTCGTGGTGCCCGAGCCTCACAGCAGCTCTGACTTCCAGGTCGCGGATGCCGTCGATTAATGTCTGCACCAGGTTCCCTTCAATGAGCGTAGGTACAGACCGGTATGCTTTTCGCACCAGCTTCTCCACCTCTAGAGCCCACTGCTGCAGGTTTTCGTTGATGCGCTGCACGCGATCTTTAAGCTGAGCACGAAAGACGTGTTCCAGGTGAGCGTCGCCATATCTCGCCTCCAATGCCTCAAGGAGTTGCTCATAAGTCACTTCCTCACTGAGAGCTTCCAGAACTGTTAAGGCCTGGTCGCGCAGGCCTAGTGTGAGAGCAGTCATGGCCTGACTTTTATTCCGGCCGTTCGCCTTCATAACAGCCTCGAACTGGATTTTGTAGGCTGACCAGGAAGAGGTACCGTCGAACGGTGGCACCTTGAACCCACGTAGCGAAGGTGTTGTAGCTACTACGGGAGCTGTAGCTCCATCTCCAAGTTTGAGTTCGTCCAGTGATTTCTTCATGTCAGCCATTACGTTGTCAACACGATGGTTTACTTGGTCGATTCGGGTTTCAGCTTTCTCGATTCGGTTTTCAGCTTTCGCGATTTGGGTTTCAGCTTCCGACAGGCGGTTGTCATGCTGAGCAACCTTATCCTTCACCTCCTTTATCTCCTTCCCGAAGGTAGCGTGAAGGACCTTCATGAGGAGCATCTGCTCTTCCAACCGACGGGCCTGTTCCTCTTGTCCGCCCCGCAGCTGCTCTTCTAAACGAGAAACCTGTTCCTCCTGTCCGCCCTGCAGCTGCTCTTCCAATCGGCGTGCCTGTTCCGCCTGCTGGCGAGCCTGTTCCGCCTGCTGGCAAGCCTGTTCCTCCTGTCGGCGAGTCTGTTCCTCCTGCTGCTCTTTCAACCAACGGGCCTGTTCCTCCTGTCGGCGAGCCTGCTCCAGCAGCATCACCATCAGAGCACCTAAGTCAGGTGCTGCAGATGTAGGGGCTACCAACGGGCCTGCAGCCGGTGGCTGGCCCTCCGACGTCTGCGGCGTTGCACCACCAAATCTTCTTTGGTTCGTCTCCTGCTGGCGTTGACTTCGGGTACGGACACCCTCCGTTTCCTCTTTAGGTAAAATCGGCATGATTTTATCCCACTTCTGACAACAATTGTTACGAGCTTGAGGTTCGTGGCAATAAAAATTGCCGATAAAATTACCTAAATTAACACTTTAATTTTCTTTACACAAATTAAACTTAAAAACACTAATAATTAATCACACTGATTCACTTTATTCCGCTCCGAAGCTTCGCTTGTCTCGCCAAATTCAATAGTTCCCCAATCGCACCTTGCAGCGCCTATAAATACACATTGGTACCGAATCATCCAGAACATTAAGTAAATAGAAATAAGATATTTATTTTAGATATTAGTACTTTAAGTAATTTGTATATGTCATAATATGTCATGAATCTTTCTCGGTGGTATGACTCCTTTCTACCTCTCATTTCTGTATCAAGTATTGTTTTTTGTTAAAGGATTTTAATAAGTATTAGTGAGTAAGTTCTCCGTTTTAGTCCTGACGTGATTACGAATTTTGTAGAATGCATTGTTTGAAGTTTATTGCAGATGCTATTTAAATTTTTTACTACTTCTTTTTATTGACCTGGATTTAGGTTGGTAGCGAATGCTCTGTGACATTAGGCCTGCTTTCCTGTACGCGTTCATGTATTATGCATAAGTAAATAAATAAGTAAGTGACTTTCTCGGCGACCAAGAGTACGGGTTACAAATTAGAGGTTTCAGTGAAACACGTACTCTCGTCGCAGGGGTTCTTCCTTCTTCTGGTTTTTGCCATGTGCCTGACCCACATTGACTGTCTCATGGAGGAGGCTACACATAGAATTCTGAGGGCCTATCGCCGGTAGCACCATTTTCGAGGATGTGAATGTAGAGAGAGTTAGTAGATGTGGAAAGATGTAGTAAATGACGAGAAGTGGATAGAAAGCTTTATGATTTGACAAAAATGATATCGAATGTAAGTCGTTTTTAACCGTCCGTTATCTGTCATCCAGAATAGCGGTTAAAAACGCTGAGGAAATTTTGCAGTTTGTAATCATATCCTAGGTGGCCTCTGTCATTTTAGGTCATTATGATAGGCTACAAATTCTTGTGAAAAAACATCGATTCTTAAAAAACTCAAGCATACCACTGCAATATTTCAAGGTGTACTAAGCTCATTCTGCGCGGATTGGGCTAAAAATAATAATTAAAAGCTGAAGGTATTCCGGGTTAACTTTGACATCGTGACGTCAATCACCTCAGTCCCCACATAGGTCGGGAATTAAAATTATTAAGTCAGTTATTAAAAAACATTGAGTGATAGATTATTTATTTGGTCTGGTTGTGTCTTGTTGTTATGCCTCATATATAAAGGGCGGAGTTAATGCCCTATGGAATTCCCTAACAGTCTAACTTGAAATATGTAGAAGTAACTTTACAACGGGTTTTAGCACGCCTTAATTACATTGACCAGTATTTATGCACGTATGCACGTAATGGATTTTTGTAATTCAATCTTCACCTACTCCCAAATATCTGATTAAACTGAATTTTTTTTCCGATAACAATACAATGATTTTATGACTACGACCTAGTTTTTTCACTAGCATAATCTTAGTTTATAACTGGTGTTTGCCGTTTAAATTTACTGCGTTATTGGTCTAATGGTTGCTAACGCGACTGCTGATCATAAGGTTCCACGTTCCAATACCGAATCGGCCCAAAATCTTATAATTTTTTTAAATTAAAAAAAAACGTCTATATTTCATCAAAGAAGAAGGCTGGGTTATTAGCACCTGTTTCGAATCTTGTGATTCGGAAAATTAAACTGAACCAAAGCATACCACTGCAAGATTTCAAGATGTAGTAAGCTCATTCTGCGTAGATTGGACTATAATATTAATTTAAAGCTTAAGATATTCCGGGTTAATTTTGACTTCGGGATGTCAATCACCTCAGTGATGTGTGTTGCAAAGCATCCGAAATGTCGGGAATGAAAATAAGAAAAATTAAAAGCGATTAAATTTCGTAAAATAATTTTATAAAATGTGTCGTATTTTAGACAACTAGATAAAAACTATGTTTAATGTGGTTTTTCAATAACTTAACTTTTGCATAAAAACTATTACTATACCTAATACTTGGGCCTATTGAAATAATACTAGTTTTTACGGAATTTATCGCGTATATTTTAACTTTTTAAATACCCGACGTTTCGAACGCTTTACAGCACTCGTGGTCACGGGTAGGACTGAGATGTTCAACGTCCATATGTCATAGTTAACCGCGGTTACCATAGATTAAAATTTAACTTTTGTTCCGATCTATGCAGTATGAACTTATGGTATCTTGAAGTCTTGCAGTTGTATGCTTGGGTTGGGATTTAATTTTATTTATTATAGGATCCCAAGCAGATGGTAGCACCCAGCCATCTTCTCTATTGAAATTAGGATGTTTTTTGATTTCAATAGCCTCGCGAATCATCCTTGGAAGGAATCGGTGTTCTTTAGCGAGGATCTGCGGTCTATCAAATCTGATGTAGTGACGGGGGCGATCCTGTACGTGTTCACAGACTGCAGACATCCCGGAGCGTCGATTCTTTACATCAGCTATATGTTCTTTAACGCGGGTTTTTATAGATCTTTTAGTTGTGTCCTATGTAGGAGAGGCCACATTCACAATCAAGCTTGTACACTCCTGCATCTTGCAGAGGAACATTACACTTGACCGATGGTAAAAACTGACCAATCTTCTTCAGCGGCTTGAATTTGATGGAAGCGCGCTTCAAGATGTAGCCAATCTTGTCAGTGACTCCTCTAACATATGGCAGTACAGCAGGTACACGCTCGACTGTGGCCGGCTTCACTCGTTCACTGTGACATAGGCGCGGGACTCGAAGCTTGTTGTCATGCAAAACTTGCTTGATATGGTGGAGCTCTGCAGCCAGGTGTTTACTTCAAGATACCAAGATTATTTTTATTATGCAAGACTTCAAGATACCATAAGTTCATACTGCATAGATCGGAACAAAAGTTAAATTTTAATCTATGGTAACCGCGGTTAACTATGACATATGGACGTTGAACATCACAGTCCTACCCGTGACCATGAGTGCTGTAAAGCGTTCGAAACGTCGGGTATTTAAAAAGTTAAAATATACGCGATAAATTCCGTAAAAACTAGTATTATTTCAATGTGTAGTGTTCGCGTAAATATAAGAAATCATTACTTGGGCCTATGTTCAGCAGTGATTGTTTTGTTTGATTGAATAACTCAGTACTCTTTGTCGCTTGTTGGTTTGTTCACGTCAGTTCGCCGCCGCAGTGCCGACCAGCCGGGCGCCGGGTGGTTGTCGCTAGCACTTCGGCAGTATTCGATTTCATCTCGCCTCCTCTCTTACGCACCTTTGCGTTTTCGTTTGCGGTGCAGTTTGGAGTTAATTTTATTAAAAAAACTTGGCGCTTGCCGCCACCCCTTTTGCATGCCACCCGGGGCCATGCCACCCCCTGGCACCCCCCACGCTACGCCACCGGCCTAAAGACTATTATTATACCTAAATTTGCAAACATTTTTTGTGTTCTACGAGTAGGAAGTCGCAGGTAAAGAATAAAGCGTAAGATTTTAGTATAAGATAAAGTGTAAGATTATATGTATGATTATCTATTATCATCTGTTCTTAATGCCATTACAAGAGTTTTTAATAGAATAAGGGTGTCAGCTCTTTTATCGCCCTTATTCAATAAAAAAACACAGTCCAGTCGATGGAAAGTAGATGCCGTAGTTCATAGACTACTATATCTACTCTCGACTAAGAATCAAATTACAGATAAGTTGTCACTCCTTAAGACTAAGGTGAAATGCCTCGTTTGCAATAAAATGGTGCTCCGGTTCTTTACACCAACCAGCACAAATTTAAATACCACAGATTTTTCAAATTATTTTGACGTCCGGATGTGGATCCAAACTGAATTTTTAAAATCCCTTCCGCTTTTACTTTCATATACGTATACATAGGTCAGAACAATAATAATATTAGAGCTAAAAGAAAATTAAGACAACTTATATTGATAATGACGCACGTATGAACTGTACTGAACCTAGTGATAGATAGACTAGTATAGTACTGAATAATTTTCAGAAAGGAGACAATCATTTTTGGGCCCACTAAAAATATTAACGTTACTTAATGGTATTTACACTAAAAATAGACACCAAATTATAATAGTAAATGGCCTATAGATTTTTCGAAAATGTAAACGGAATCAAGAAATCTGAAAAAAAAAATGGTTGTTTTGATAATTCGTGTTCTGATCATTGGCTAAGGTAATGTAATATTTAAAAATTATTGTCTTACAGATGTGCCGTGATAACTCGGAAAAAAATCGACTCAAGTTGAAATTCAGGTAACTCGATTTTGAGCTCGAGTTACGCAATTCAAATTAGCTGAACGAAGTTATGTCAATTTGTCACAAATGATTTTTATAATTGTTCTTCCGTTACAACACAATTATTATTACGACACTTAATAGGTAGTTATATATTATTTTTGGTATGCGTATCGACAATCTTCATAAAACAATATCACTCTAACGTTACGACGTAAGTCTTAATGTTATTAATAATTTGACTATCACAAAGTATATATAATCAATTTATATTATATATAACATAAATTGATACAACATTATAAACATATTACCTATTATCAATTTATTTATTACATAATATAGCAATAAATTTCTCGAATTAGTAAGTCGATTTCATCACTAAATTGTAGACAAACACTGCATTGGCCGTAAGATAAAGATACGATTCGAGTAGAATTTTGTGACTCGAGCCACTCGGGTTAATTTATGTATATATGTCATTCTAGTCGTACAATAGTTTTTGAGTAAATCGACTATTTATAGAAAAGTTTATCACTAGAGTTGAAGGTAGCGATTACTTTAGTTAAACCATTTTTAAATATGTACCTTTATAAATAAGTAATATGTGGCAAATTGAATTTTTTGTGGTAAAATTCGCAAATAAAACTGACGAGTTTAAAAAAGGTAGAAGGTAAAGAAAATGCTAGAACTTTGTTTATTACACCTATTCTGTGATGTTATAAATTGGTGTAAATACTTACTTAGCATTATAAACACATTTAGGCCTTAATAAGAAAAATGGCCAAAGCACTAAGGCCAATAAACCACAGCTTAAGTAAAATATAAAGAAAAACAGGTAAAATCTTATTTTGCTGGGTTCAATACGAGAAATAATTATAGAAAATAATGACGCAGTTAGCAAACACATAGAACATAACAAAAATATTTCATGCCACATTCTTGCAACATAACGGAACACAATTTAATAAACGATTGATACGTTTACCGCCATTAAATCAAGGAATAAACTGACTGAGAATCAAATATTATAAAGTTTTAAAGGATTCAAATTCGTCTGTATTTAAATTTGAACATTAGAATTATGTTTGTACATGAAATATAATTACCATTATTAACGTTGTTTCTCGTGAGAAAAATTAGGGGGTTTTTGTTTTTGTAGGGGCGGGGAGGGGGGGAAATAAATTTTTTTTTTTAAAAAAAATTTTCTCTCGTCGGGAGTTTAAATAAAAAAATTTTCAGGTTGGATTTTATAAAGGTTTTTTATTTAAAACACTTTTGCTAATTTTATGTGTGAATATTCATAAAGTCATAAATAAAAAACCTAACCTTACAAAGATATCTAAAGGTCAATTCAAGTTGGCATGACTAATATTTTATACCATTTAAAGCAAGAAGAAGCAAAATTAACCTACTGTATTCATCCAACAATATAAAATTACGATTAGTTTTTCTCGACTTTTGCTTAATTGTTATTCTATTAGTATTTTTCATGTTATCCCCAAAATATTCTACTACTCCTCGTTCTATGTCTCGCTAATTTAGATTGCAAAATTTCCAATTCAATGGCCTTAAAAAAAACTACTTTCAATTTTTGGTAAAATAATATTATAAGTAATCGTTTATTTCTTATTGTTATCTTTCTATCGTTACTAAATACGTAAATGTACATTTTTTTAATAGGATAGAGTGACAACGAGCACACAGACCACCTGATGGTAAGTGATTGCTGTGGCCCATAGACATCTACATCTATCCTCGATTACGGATCAAAATGCAGATGCGTTGTCACCCGTGAGGACTAAGATGGAACGCCTCGTTTCCAGTAAAAAGGATCTTCGGCTACCTCAACTCAAATTCTAATTTCGCCCCCACTTCCCCGCGCGTCGTATGTAATGTACAGACATGTTTGTAATCAATAATACTGTACGTAGATAGATACTCATTTAATTAAGTTCATCATATTTATGCCTGTTTCTTTACGCCAACTCAGTCAATTCTTATCTTTATTACGGTTATTTATTTATTTATTCTATTTATTTATTTATTTAAAAAGATACACCAACAGTACATGTATACATATTATAAAAGTTACATTTATAACGCACAATTCCTTATAAATATATCTATTATAGGCGTACACAATATTGACAGAAGATATTAAGTAACAACATAATATATATATATATATATATATATATATATATATATATATATATATATTCTGAAAATTTAAAACAATAAAATAGTAAAATTCACCAAAAAAACAAAAAAAAAAATCTTAACTAAGAACAAATGCCTCTTCACAAAGGGCCGGCCAGTTTTCATTTAAATTTAAACAACGAGTCATGGAAAATGTCAAATGTTTCAATATTCATCTCGTTGTACTGTGCACAACATCTGACGAGAGGAGAATAGCGTCCAAGGTTAGTCCTTACAGAAGGCAAGGCAAAAGTTTTTTGATAGGATGTCGGGGTATGCGAGCAGGCACCGTCAATGTAACACGTTCTAGGAGCTCATTACATTTTATTTTACCGTTGACAAGTCCGTGCAAAAACACCAAATCCTGATCCCTTCGACGGCTACGCAACGAGTTCATTTTAAAAAAGGCAAGACGATGCTCATATGGTGACCGGTGTGACACGCCCTGCGTAATAAATGCCAGATGCCTAGTGAATGCACGCTGAATACCCTCCAAGCGTTGAGAGTGAACAACATATACAGGGTTCCATGCCACGCTAGCGTACTCCAAGTTACTCCGGACCAAAGCATTGTATAATATTTTACGGGTGCAATTTAAACGGAAACCCGCAGTACCTTGCCTAAGAAAACCTAGCATTTTCGTGGATTTATTTAAAATAATGTTAATATGTGAACTGAATTTTAGGTGCTTGTCTACTGTTACACCTAAATCTCTTATTTCTTCTACTTCAGTTAATGTTGATTATTTCCCATTTTAATTTTACGTCGTCCTGTTGCGTAATGTGTATTATAATCGTAAGCGACACAGCTTTCTCGTTCGAAAGCCGAAGCGAGACAGCGGGGTTATCGGGCGGCAGGGAACAAGCTTCAGGACGTCGATAGTTTAGGTAATTTCTTTTTACAGTGCAAATAATGTTAATTAAAAAAAATAAAAAAACATAAGCCCTGCTTTATAGTTAGATCAGTTAGTATGCAAAGTTTAATGATCTAATTTAAAGTATTTTGTGAATACCAGCGGTTTATTATTCGGTTTGGAGGTAACTCTGGATTTTTTTTCTATGGAGAAAATTTTAAGGATTCGTGTTTTCGTCTAACATAGAACATTAACCCTCAACTTTACCATATATTTGTTTCAAAATTAATGTTGCAATATTTTCCGCATAACGGAGGATCGTGCTAAGTAGTTTGAGGTAGTATATAATATAGGCCCTTTATACGTTGGTATTCCATGAAAGCGTGGTACTTCCTCGGTCGAGGTGACCCATTTGTGCTACAACTATACTACTAATATAACTACAGCATGGCTCTATAAAATGATACATTATTCTATCTTCCCTTTCTCTTTCTTTAAGAGCCACTTGATCTGTTTCTGCAATAGCTCAATGTATGTATAGTTCTTCTATTTACGAAGTTTCCAATCATTATCTACCTTTTATGGTGTCCTAAAGTATGCAATAGTCAATGGCTTGATTCCAAATTTGAAAAGTAACATGCAACAAAATAGTGCGTATAGTTTGGTATTATTTTAGACACCAATGTAGGTTAGTTACATCTTAGATTATAAAATTAACGAAGCGAGTTTCACATTCTGGTAGTGCAAGAGGGTGATAGTCAGACGCTTGGGCATCAGAAAATAGTTCTATGATTATGTGCACTACTGTGATGAAAAAAAAAACAAATCTAGTCATGACGAGGAATAAGCTTGAATATACCAGAGACAGGCGTGCTTGACCGCTACTGGGGCCATGACACAACACTTACTGCGGCCATGGAGGACATGTTGGACATGACGCCATTGCATCTTTTCGTTCAGCACGAAACAAGGGTGTCAGCTGTCAGAATAAATCGTCTAAGCTTATAGAAAAACTGCAGGTTACTAGGTTGGTTACAATAGCACAAAGTCTTGCCCACAGTCGTAAAGTTGCAGAACCAACGCTTTACACAGTACAGAGGTGTTTCTTTTACCAGTAAACGGAATCTGCACATTCTTCATTTGGAGCTCATAATAGATATGTGTTTTTATTAAGCACTATTGGTTAGAATGTTTATCTGTTCTGTTCAGAATTACCCATAAAATGCATACGTAGTTCTTACTTAACCTTACGTTATCATGAGTTTTGAATTCGGACTAAGTATATGCACAGAAAATATGCAACTTTTCTTTTTCTGGATGTTAAAATATCTAAAATTACCTAAAAACTAAGATGACCTGATTTTGGTCTACATATAGAAAGAAAAATAAAAATACATGAGTTTTATAAGGCAAAGTAATTTTCGTGGTAAGTGGTGATGAAGCCCTAGATTAATAATAATACATTTTAATATAATATGCCTAGTGATCTTCTCGTAAATTACTTTTTATTAATTATATACTTAAAAAATTGAGAGAGGATTGATGGTTTGAAACAACGATGGCTACACGTTCCTCAGCTAATATTTCGCCTCTACGTAGCTCTCATTTTAGGTCAAACAGTTTTGTTATAAGTTTCAAAATAGCCGCGCCGAATCTGTAATAAGCAAATATTTACAAATGGATGTTCATGATGTAATGATGGCACCCAAATAGTCACCTTCTGAGCATAAAAATAGGCTGTTATTTTGATATTACAGACATAAGCTTCAAATTCTATTTATACATAGATATATACTACTCCATTGCTATCTAATAATTTCTAAAACTTTTGCACGCGTCAAGCAGCGTTAAGTAATCTCGTAAATATGTCATATTAGTGGGAGAGCTGGCGGCAAAAATCGGCAAGAGTTTTGTATTGCGATAATTCAATATGATTTAGCATTGTGTTGTGTGACATGAGTCAACCAACTCGCAAGGTCAGGTAGTTGAACACCTGGCGGCGGTGTGCTTTGATGTATGTAATATACCTACAACACGCTTTACAAGTATTTTGTAATAATTAAAAATTGGCAGCAAGCTAGTTTATAGTACTTACAACAAAACGTGGAAAAGTGGTTAGACCGCATTGTTGTGGAACGCGGCGGATCAGCACGCCACGTAAGTTGTCGCCATAGGGATGTCAGTGCAAGAGTTTTGTAGTAATTAAACTAAACTGAAAATTGTACTGCTACTTAACTATAATACATAATTTAAGAAAAAAATAACCAAAGAGTAATGGAACAGAAGCAGTAAGTAGTCGCTCAAAGTGTGGATAAGTGCGGCTGAACGGAGCGTGTAAGGATATAATATCAATTTCCATTTTTATTAAATTATAATAGATTTTTTTAATGCAAAGTAATTAAATTACACACTGAATAATAAACTTCAAAAATAAAATAAAATTTAATCTTTTAAAGAAATCGGCATCGCTGTCGCTCTTTTTATCGCCCGTGTCCGTATTTGTTTCGTCGATGTATTGTTACTCAGAGTCAGACTGAGAATATATAAAAAGTAATTTATTATTGTAAATAAGATATTTGATAATAAAATCAATAAAATAAAATCATCAATATAATCATTTACAAGAGTAGAGATTAAAAATGTACATACTTTCATTTTGATTTGGTTGAATGATCACGTCTTTCACACGAGTTAGCAACTGATTTCTATCGAACCAGTCGAAATCATACCACTTATATATCTTTCCAACTATTTTCTGTTGCCAAAGTTATAAGTAATTTCATTTGTAATATTCGAATAATATTAATATAAATGATAGTAGGTAATATTCAAATAAAAATATATTCGAATTTATTTGAATGTTACAAACGAAATTATATTCACAGTTACATAATTTCACTATAAGTTTATAAAATATACAGTTGCAATTACAGTTACTATTAAAGTCCTCTGCTGAACATCGGCTTACCCCATAAATTGCCTAATATACACTACTAGTATGTAACGTAATTAACGCACACCCTCAGACACCCCAATTAGTATATTATAATCATAATACATACACTGAATTTTTAGTTAAACATTTTTATGCACTGATTATTTATCAAATTAGTTATACTAATACCGGAAGAATGTTGTGGTCACAGTACATACTTCTTGAAATAAAGTTCATTTTTCTTTATTTTTATTGAATGACAGAATTAGTAATAATACAAATAAAACTGCGCTCTTAAAAGTCTTATTGCCTTAAGTTACGGTCCATTTCAGTTTGTTTTGACTATACAGATTTAGTGTGACTGTAATTTACGTAATTTTAATTGTTTTTGGGATAAAAAATTACTTATATTAAAAATGATAGGAATCGATTAAGTAAACGATTCTGAACAAACTACTTTCTCAAAGTGCGTTAATTATGTTACATGTTGTATAGTGAGGATATTTGCCATAGTTGCCACGCTTGGCCAGCGGGTTGGCAACCGCAGTTTTAAATTTATAGTAGTTTTTAGGAAGACGCTGCTGTCCATCACCTGATTTGAATCTCTCTGTTCCTTCTTACGACACCCACGAGATGATATGGGGTAGGGGGCCATTCATTAATTATGTATGTTTCCCAACGGGGAGGAGGGTTAAAAAATATCTACATGCCTATCTTTGTAAGTCGAAATTTAATTTATATTTAAACCCTGTTCGCCAAGCGAGCGCGCGACATGTTATAATCCCGTTCGCTCGGGACCGTAATGGCGGGAAAATTTGAAAATTAGCAAATTTTTTGCTATATTGCAAATTTAGCTTTATTTTCACTTTGAGACAATATTTATGGATAAAACTTACAGGAATTCTTGTTGAATGTATAAACTATCGAATAAAATTATTTTTGGTTGCTAGAAATTGTAATAAAATACGTAAATTACCCTGTATAGCATAGTAGTGGCATATACTTCAATTTTAGTGACAAAATTACTACTAATTTGAATTCTACACTTTTGTTTTTAGAGAAATTTATATGAAAATGTTTGGAAATATGTATATTTTTATGTTTTATGTGTTTCCATTCGTTACTCATACCAAAATATTAAAATATAAAAAAAAATAATAATATTTTCTCTGTGTGACATTTAGAACAAAATTTCTAAAATAGTTTTGTGTGAATTTGAAATAAATACAACGTCAAGTTATTTGAAATATGTAAGAAAACTATTTTTTACTTACATTTTACACTAAAAATAAATGAGAATTTGAAAAATAACACATTTATGACCCAGCCGCCATAATGGGCCCTCCAGATTTTGAAGCACTTTTGGCAATTTACTTTTCACTTTTTATACCACAAATTATATATATATGTGTTCACTATATTACAAGGAATATAAAAAAGTATAATACTTTCGTTTTTAGTCCAGACACAAATATAAAATTCTATAAAAAAGACGGAGCACCTTCATCAAAACGACACGTGGAACGCCGAAAGTTCAGAGTGATTTCTTTTTTTTTTTTCTAAGAAACATTGCCAGGTTATGGTTTAAAATAAAAGAGCATATCTTTGTCTTTGATACTATTATCTATTGTATAGAGTCTTTGGTTTTGTTTAAAACCAAAAAATAGTTTTTTCATAGGTACACACGTTTACATAATTCTGATCAAATTAGATCACTGCTTGGCGGACGTAAGGTAGGTATTGTACGATCAAAAGTGCGCATAGTATATATATATATATATATATATATATATATATATATATATATATATATATATATATATATATAGTATTGAGGCAGTATACCGCACAATGTCGTAAAGTAGATTTCGATTCCTGTTACGATGTTTACGTTTCGACGTAATGGATAGAGCAGCCCGTCGAACAACCGACCGTTTAGCACCGATTCGTCAAATTATTGAAATTATGTTTCGCAACTGCAAAGAATAGTATACGCCAAGCGAGTCCGTTACAATTGATTAGCAGCTTGTAGCATTCAAAGGTCGTTGTGGTTTTATAATTTATATGCCGAACAAACCGGCTAAAATCGATATAAAAACAATTATGATCGTAGCCGTCAAGTATCCGTTTAGTGTACGCGGGTCAACAGCCAAGGTCAAGGCCCTCTATATGGCTTGGGGTGTAACGTGACAATGGACAATTGGTTCATCAATGTACCTGTGCGCAAGAATTTGCTGAAAAAAAAGATTATAGTACATAGTTGGAACACTATAAAACAATAAATCTGAAATACCCGAGAAATTCAAATCTACTCAGAACAGACAAGTACTAGACTCGACCTTTGCTTTCCAACCTGATTGTACACTCGTTAGTATCATACCCAAAAAAAAGTCGTTTTATTTCTGTCTCTGTTGTGTAAATAATCATCTATTACAATCACACAAAGTATGGCGTCGATGTTTTCGATAAATTGTGTCATCAATATGACGTGACGCGCAACAGCCGAAGTTGGCCTCTTATATTACTACAAAAATTTCCCATACGCGGTGGAAATGGAAGATGTGACTTCTGTAATAGAGCGAGAGATCGAAGCACTCGCAAACAGTGTAGAAAGTGTAATAGGCGTATTTACCCTGATCACCAGATCGTATTATGCCCTAACTGTGACGAAAACGCTATGGAACAGGAACAAACCGTTCGTGAACTTCGTATTGTGGTTATTAATCTGCTAAAATAATGTGTTAAAAAATAAACTGTTTGATCTCAATAAGCCTAAAATATGTAAATTTTTATAGAAGTTTATCTTTAGCTTATAATTTAAATACGAATATCAAATGTTGGCTTTTTTAAAAGTATTTAATTATAAATAAAGTTAATTCATAATAATATAACTTGTTTGTTTATAATAATAGTGTAAGGCACATGTACCCCGCGCGAGCACTCAAGGCATTTTTGATGCGCGAGCTCTCTAGGGTTAAAAAAAAGTATTTTCTATCAGTAATCGTTTAATTCTTACTGCTATCGTTACCAATTACGTAAATGTACGTGATATATTATTCTATCTTCCCTTCCTCTTTCTTCAAGAGCCACTTGATCCATTTATATAACCCGAACTTTTTCAACACAATTTTGTGGAGCGATGAATCCGCCTGCAGGAAGGACGGGTACATAAACTTGCACAACCTGCATAGTTGGCAGACAGTCAACCCCCACGAAACAAGGCAAAATCATTCGCAATACCAGTTTAAAATTGATTTGTGGACAGGTATTTTTAACGGCCGTATCATAGGACCTGTGTAAATACCGTCGACTTTAAATTCTGATAATTATTTAGAACTTTTAAGAGACACGCTGCCAGGATTTTTGCAACAATAGCCACAAGAAATCAGGGAAAACATGTGGTTACAAAACGACGGATGTCCAGCCCGTTATGGTCGCTAAGTAAGGGCTTACTTAGACGAGGCTTATCCTGGGCAGTGGATTGGCCGACTTGGGCCAATTCTGTGGCCACCAAGGTCACTAGACCTCAACTCTCTTGATTTTTTTTATTGGGGTTGCCTGAAGGACAGAATCTACGCGAAATCGATAACATTACAAGAAGAATTAAGACAACGTGTCCATCAAGCTGCTCAAGAAATTTCAGAAATAAATTTACGGCCGTTAAAAAGGAACTTTTTAAGGAGATGCAGGTTATGCATTCGAACAAATGGTAAACATTTCGAATATCTTTTATGAAAATTGCTTTTTAATTTAACTTTAAATCCGTTTCTTTTGTTTCATTTTTCTCTTAACTTCCAGCTCCAAAAACCTACATTTAGTTATTTGTGTGCACTTAAATGACATAATACAAAACGAAAATTAAATAATTTATTAATCAAAGCAGGTTATGATGTACCCTCTTATCACTATCAAGTTTTTGTGGTATCCTAAAGCCTAAAGTATGCAATATTAAATGGTTTGATTCCAAATTTGAAAAGTAATATGCAACAAAATAGTATAAGCATAAGTATCACGTCATTCCCGGAGACATCGACTCTTCTGTGGGCACTGCGTCTACATAAAGCAATTCTACAGGAAGGACATAGTATGGGTTAATATAAGATGGCAAGCTAATTTTTGAAGTTAGAATTCATACAATAAAGTATTTATTTTATTTTCCCAAACATACAAGATGATTTGAAGATTATATTTTTCCGGTTAATACTTGTTTAGGAGGTATCGTGGAAAGATGAACTGATCTTTGATAAAAAATTGTATAATCACCTAAAATTATATTTAATTATACCCACTCATCTGTATTTTTTAAAGATTTACAACTGCTTAATAGAACTGCAAATAATACTGCCACTAAAAAAACATTCGGATACCTTTTCAAAGTCGTTTATTTCTCATTTTTATGTGTTTACAGAAATAAACTCTGATATAGAAAACATAAGGTGCACTGCATTTATTTATCAAATAAATAACGTATATTTTTCAATTTGATTTATGTGTACTTTAGCGTGCTACGAATGATAATATAAATATATATAAACATTAGCATTGTGTTTAAAGTCTACATAGGGAAACATTATACATTAAAAAAATAAAAACTAAGATACAATATTCACGTCATATTTTAACAGAATATCCCTATATCGATTTTAGGACTTCCGAACACTTACTTTAATTTATGTGTATGCTTTGGTATTATTTAAGACACCAATATAGGTTAGTTACATCTTAGATTATAAAATTAACGTAGCAAGTATCACATTCTGGTAGTGCAAGAGGGTGATAGTCAGACTCTTGGGAATCAGAAAATAGTTCTATGCTTATGTGCACTACTGTGATGAAAGAAAACCAATCCAGTCATGACGAGGAATAAGATTGAATATGCCAGAGACGGGCATGCTTGACCGCTACTGGGTCGATAACACAACACTTACCGAGGCCATGGAGGACATGTTGGCCATGACGCCATTGTATCTTTTCGTTCAACAAGAAGCAAGAGTGTCAGCTGTCAGAATAAATCGTCTAAGCTTATAGAAAAACTGCAAGGTTCACTAGGTTGGTTACAATAGCACAAAGTCTTGCCCACACGCAAAAAGCCTCTTAGTCGTGAAGTTGCAGAACCAACGCTTTTACCTGAAGATATAAGATTTGAGAGTACAGAGGTGTTTTGTTTACCAGTAAACTGAATCTGCACTTTCTTCATTTGGATCTAATAATAGATATGTGCTTTTATTAAGCACTATTGGTGAAGCAAAACCTCGTTCGAATATTGAACATGAAATTTGCACGTCTGGGAGACAAACAATTACAAGGATATGTATTTCTATATAAGGGTCCGAAGAGGGATGTGACATGAAACATTATTATGATTAGACCCTTTATAGTACAAGGATATGTATTTCTATAGAATAAGGGTAGCAAATTAATAAGTACACAGTATACCTGATGGTAAGTGGATGACTAAATTTATTATCGATTAGGAGTAAAAAAGCAGATGCGTTGTTTCTCCTCACGCCTGTGACGGAATAGCTCGTTTCCAGTAAAAGGGGGTTTCCTCTGTAACACTCACCATACGAGACGCTGACAGAAACATTAAGCTGCTATTGATACACATAATTATTAAACATTAAGCCCGACCCATTCGTGTTACAACCATAAAGGAACTGCAACATAGCTTTACTACGTAAAGTCCTTATATTTACACTGGAGCAGCGCTGCTAACTAATTGCTCCACGATACTCTTAGAAATGAAAAGAAACATGTGCCCAGCTGTGGCACGTATATAGTTTTTTTTATTACTTTTTTTTACTTTTGACAGACTACCAGTACTCCGATTGAAGAAAAGTTCAAAATCTAAAATATCGAAATAAGTTTCATTTGATTATTACATCTCAATTGGAAATTTTAAATAATTTTTTTTTGTTATTTCTTTCTCCTTTTATGAACACTAATTATGGAATAAATTAGTAACTAAATAGGTAGAACGTTTTCACTTTACTCACTGTCGTATGTGGGTATTTTTTTATATAAATGATATGAGACGTATATTATAACTATCAAGTAAACGATTTTTGGATAGTTAGTGACCCATTTTTGTATGTGGATAGTCTGATGGCAAATTAGCTGTTACTTCTTGGCATAGATCTTTGTAGACAGTCACCATTTTTTCTCGCACCTGGTTTGTAAGCTTCTCCACATCGTCTAGGTTTAATCCTTTGGTAGGTATAGGATCCAAACATTGAATGACAATATGACCTGAAACAGAGATTGTTATTTTAAGAAAAATTGACTAAGAAACTGTAATACATATTCAACTCATTTTCATTTTTGTGTCCCAATTGAAAATAACACTTCATTCACTTAAACAACACTTCACTTAACAATCTGATAGTAAGTAAGTGTGTATATTCGTTAGTTGTCCTTAGAACAAACATATAAGCTATGTATAAAGACATTATTTTAGACGGAATTTGGAATCAATGTAAAGCGAATCTGTTTAAATATTATATAGTATAAGGAAAATTGAGAAGAGATGTTAATAATTGCAAAATAATTTCAATAATTTCAAAAAGATACACCTCTAAACTCCAAAGCTTTATTAGACTTGCCATTTTTCTTTGTTAACTATCGGCACATAATGAACTGAACCTCTACAGTTGTGGAATGGTCAAAGTTGAAATATTGTTATTTAAAATCTGTCATTACAAAGGTTTGTTGAAAGTCGGTTTGGAAGTGACGAAAAACTTCCAAATGGAATCTCGCATTAGTTACAAATTACAATTTAACATTTTCGTAAGTCCTCGGATTTTTTTCAATCGCAACAATTTGAGATCGCAGTACCAGATGTCACTGAATGTAATATAACCCTTATATTTCATTAATAAGAGTCTATTAATGAAATATAAGGGGAAACGTGATAACCATTTTACCAAATGTCAATCTCATTGAAGGTGGTCCTTTTTTGGATTGACGGACGAGGTTCTGATGACCGATTAAATTCAAAAGTACCTTACTCAAATTCTAGATAAACGGTGAGCACATTAGCAGTGTGCGGGTATCCGCTCTGATTTCACCAGTTGAATAGGCAACTTTAATAAGAATTGCAAACTTTTTGACGCACTATTTAAAAGTTCTACATATCAGTAGTACTTAGCAGTGGCCTTAAGGAGACCGACGTTGCAATATCATGTCTATTATATTATTACTAAAGAACATTTTTTGCCTTACCTTTATTAAAAATACTTTTTTCATAATTTATAAAATAGTACGGTGAGAAAACAACAGGTATGACTGGGACTTGAGCAGCAATAGCCATATTGAATGCACCTTTTTTAAAAGGCAAAAAACTTGTGCAATCTTTATTACACGTACCATCAGGAAACAACCAGATCTTCGTCTAAAAGCAAAAACAAATTTAAATTAAAAATTTGAAGCAAAATGTTTTTACCTATGTACATAAGTTAATACTCTAAGTAATAATTTTATTCAACGACACTGACTACTGAAAATTTTATATAATAATGACCCATGAATAGTAATGATTTTATGTTTATCTTTTGTATATATGATTCGTCCGTTTCGTATGCTAATTCAAAGCCCCGAAAACTTTTAGTTTAAATTTCAAAATTTCTAAGTTTGAATTGCACCTCAAAAAGTTGTCAGAGCTGTTAGGCCTATCCGGATATATTTTGTCCGGCGATATTTTTGATTAATTAAAAGTTTTAATTCTTACAATATTTTTATTACATAAGAAAGCATTTTTCCATAAATTCAGCCTTATCAAAAAAAGCATTCTCATCGTCCGAGAATTCCAAATTAAACACTCATTGTTTCGGTTATGGGAATATGAATTACATTGAGATCAAATTGTTGATCTCTTCGTTATGATGTATTTCACAAAGTCGTTCATGAACAGCCGTGGCGATGAATGGGGTATTATTAACAATGACGAATTATAATTAAAAAGTTAAATTAAATTACGACATTTCTATGGGCGTTAGTGATTATATTATGTACTCTACTATTTACTATGTTATGGTAATTGGTTGCAATACCCCAAAGATATCTATTCCTGATTACGAATCACAATGCTAATATTATTGCACTCGTGAGGACTAAGAACAAATGCTTCGTTTCCAGTAACAAGGGTATCCGGTTCTTTACACTCACCATACGAAAAGCAGCGTTAATTTGCTATTTAACACTGGTATTCTGTGAGAGTATCATCCTTACCCGGTCGAGCCGATCCATTCGAGCTACTCTACCACGTAAAATATTTTATTGATGACGGCTTTCTTCCAGAAACGTGCCTCTCCTCATTTCTTAGTCGATTATAGAGCTGTAAAGAATTTAAAGCGTACCACGTTCTCCAAATAATTGGAATTTATATGTTAAATATATTTCTTCGTGATTTTTGAATATAGAGCTGGAAAGAATTTAAGGCGCACCACGTTCTCAAAATAATTGGAATTTAAATGTTAAATATACGTCTTCGTGATTTTTGATAATGTTAACGATTATGATTTATGATTAATGATTAAGTTATCTTTGCTCAATCACAGATAAAATACAGATAATAAATTAAATTCGTTAACGATATTTAACATACATCATAACGAAGAGATCAACAATTTGATCTCAATGTAATGAATCAAACTTATCGCTACGTCTTTAAACAATGACGATGTTATTGACAATTTCACAAAATAAAAATGTATACAACTCAGATGAAGTAAATGATGACACATACTTTTTTAACAAATGTGATTATATAAATAATATTTTTTATATGTAAATAGTTGACCGAAATTTCAACAATTTGCGGGAAGGATAGATATTCCCCAATCCATTCCTCTTGATTTCTTCACTCTTATCACATTCTCATTCACGCCCACCTATTAAGCGTACACGTATCTCGCCTGCGTAATTAGTTTGTAAATAAATTATGCTACGGCGGTGCTATCGTTGCGAAACTCATAGAAGCCTAAATCACGCTACTAAAATTCCGAAGTACTCTGGCATATAAAGAATTGCTTTGTTTTAACACACAGTGTTAGCATTCTTCATCCTCATGTAAAAAGTTAGAGCAAACTGTCGTTAATACGCGAACTTCACGCCTATAAACTTGCGTTAGACCTATCATGTCTCACGCAGATGTATACTTATATCACACGTACTTATAGAATTCCCCTATACGAGCTCCGAAAAAATAATTCAAAATAATTTCAGCCGCAAAGCCACCAGAGCTTCGGTGGTATCAACGAAATTCCAATTTACACAGACACTGTGAATTTCCTCTCCGAATACTTCAACGAGATGTATCATGGTATTACATTGATAGCGCCGAAACCTATTCTAACCCGCTAGTGGCAAACTTAGTCAACTATGTTCCAATCGCAAACGTTGCAACCGGTTTCGTGTTAATGCTCCTAATGTTATCATTTATATCTTCCATGCCTCCTCTTTCTCATGAAACTTTCACTTGTTCTCTTGTAGACGAAGACCAGATACGCTAAGCACTTTCTTTTATTAAATCGAAAGCCATTGGTTGTGATGATGTGAGTAGGGTAATTGTTTTGTACGTGTTGGAGACTGTTTTACCCATGATAACTCATCAATAACTTCTCGTTTACAAATGGTGCTTTCCCAACTCTCTGGCGTAAAGCCTTTGTTACTCCTATTCCTACACCGATTGCAGCGCTATATCTAATTTTAGACCAATTTCTGATTTTTCTTTCTAACGTTCCGGAAACTGTTGCTCATAAACAGATTTCTTATTTTGATTTCTCAAAGAATATTCTTTGCTTTCATCTCTCGTGTTTCCGCCCTGGTCATTCGTGACGGAAGATATCCATGCGGAGACGGAAAAAGCCATATTGGCTGTTCGCAACTTTTTTTAGATATTTTTGTAACTGTTGTTCTGTTGATTATGATGTTTTGATGAATTGATAAAAATGGAAAACAGAAGAGGAAAGATAATACCAACTAAATTCAATTATTATCTCTCCTCTTCTTTTTCCATTTTTATCAATCTCCTCACATTAAATCTCATGTGCTATTACCATCTGTATGCCGATGATTTGCAGTTACTTGAGCAAGTGGAAACCTCAACTACTGATATAGCTTTCAAAAAAGACTTTAAGCAGTCGAAAATGCTGAGCTAAAAATATCGTCTTCTAAGGCACAGATAATTAAGATGGAAACAGAAATTACTGAAAAAGATCATTGGCTTCGATCAAATAACGTCGAAACGAAGGGAGTACCATTTAAAACTGAATAGAATCTGTTTGACATTGTAACTGAATTAGGATTTAAAATAAATAATCATGTATTAAAGATTAATACTAATTATGTAACACGTGTTTTCCAGTGCAGAGCGGTTTTCAGCGCAGAGCGGCTTTCAGCGCAGAGCGGCTCGAATCGTCGACGACCGAGTGCTTTCTGATCGGCTCGATTCACTGGCGCTGCGAAGAGATGTTGCATCTCTTTGCATTTTCTTTCGCATATACCATGAGGAGTGCTCTGAGGAATTGTTCGGATTAATCCCAGCCGCGAAATTTCATGAACGCACTACGCGGCATACGTCCCGATACCATCCACACCATTTGGATGCTTGGCGGTCCACCATTGTACGTTTCAGAAGGAGTTTTCTTCCGCGTACGACCTCTCTGTGGAATAGTTTACCACCGGCGATTTTTCCGGACCGATACGACTTAGGGACCTTCAAGAAAAGAGTTTACTCCTTTCTAAAAGACCGGCAACGCACCTGCAATTCCCCTGGTGTTACAGTTGTTTATGGGCGACGGTAGTCGCTTAACATCAGGTGAGCCGCATCCGCTCGTTTGCCCCCTCTTCTATAAAAAAAACGTGTCCAGATGCGAGATGCTGGGCCTAACAAGCCCAAGCCTATTATTCCTTTTTTATCAAGAAATACATGAAAAAAGATTTCATTGCAGCTTCTGCGCTATCTTCGAGTGGTATTTGAATATTAAATTATGACTTAAAATACATCTCTGAATAGTCCACTGTGTATGGCACAAACGTGAACCCGTCTATACCATATGATAATTTTAGGTAGCCTAAGATTATTGTCTAAATTACATTTTTCCACCTTACCATTAATTGTTTAGTAATAATGTCTATACCTATGCATACCATTCTCTTCCATTTAACGAACCTTGGTATATAGATTGATGATTAAGCAACATGGAACAAACATATATTGAAAGTTTTCGGACTCTATATCCATTGAAAAACATTATTCCCACCAATCATCATCATCATTACAGCCCGTCACAAGTCCACTGCTGAACATAGGCCTCCCCCAAGGTATGCCACAAAGCACGGTCCTGAGCCACCTGCATCCATCGACTTCCTGCATGTCTTACCAGGTCGTCACACCATCTAGTGGGGGATCGCCCTACACTTCGCCTACTGGTACGAGGCTGCCACTCGAGAACCTTTTTTCCCCAACGGTCGTCGGTTCTTCGAACTATATGGCCGGCCCATTGCCACTTCAGCTTAATAATCCGTTGGGCTATGTCGGTCCCTCTGGTTCTACTGCGGATATCCTCATTTCTAAGTTTATCACGCAGAGAAACTCCGAGCATAGCCCTCTCCATAGCTCGCTGAGCAACTTTGAGCGTCCTCATACGGCCAGCAGTGAAGGACCACGTCTCGGTTCCGTAAGTCATCACTGGCAACACACACTGGTTCTACAACTTAGTTTTCAGGTTTTGAGGTATAACTGACGAGAAGTTGCGACGTAATTTCCCGGACGCTGCCCAGCCGAGTTGAATCCGTCGATTGACCTCTCGGTCGAAGTTGGACTTACCTAGTCGGACTATTTGTCCCAGATAAACGTACTCGTCAATTCTCCATTTTTCCCACCAATTCTAAGATCCTATTTGTCCCGTTACTTTTTCTAACAATCATTATTGATTATGTACGAAATGAGTAATGCGATGTCTTTTACTGATGAAAGTATATTTTATTTATGGGTTAAATCTATTTACTTTAGAGTGCCTCAAATGCATAAATCTTCAGCACGTCGATAAGCTTCAGGACGTCGATAGTTTAGGTAATTTCTTTTTACAGTGCAAATAACGGTAATTAAAAAAAAAGTAAGTCCTGCTTTATAGTTAGATCAGTTAGTATGCAAAGTTTCATGATCTAATTTAAAGTATTTTGTGAATACCAGCGGTATATTGTTCGGTTTGGAGGTAACTCTGGATTTTTTTTGTATGGAGAAATTTTTAAGGATTCGAGTTTTCGTCTAATATAGAAAATTAACCCTCAACTTTACCATATATTTGTTTCAAAATTAATGTTGCAATATTTTCCGCATAACGGAGGATCGTGCTAAGTAATTTGAGGTAGTATATAATATAGGCCCTTTTTACGCTGGTATTCCATGGAAGCGTGGTACTTCCCCGGTCGAGGCGATCCATTTGTGCTACATTTATACTACTAATATAACTACAGCATGGCTCTATAAAATGATACATTATTCTATCTTCCCTTTCTCTTTCTTTAAGAGCCACTTGATCTGTTTCTGCAATAGCTCAATGTATGTATAGTTCTTCTATTTACGAAGTTTCTTATCATTATCTAGCTTTTATGGTGTCCTAAAGTATGCAATATTCAATGGCTTGATTCCAAATTTGAAAAGTAACATGCAACAAAATAGTGCGTATAGTTTGGTATTATTTTAGACACCAATGTAGGTTAGTTACATCTTAGATTATAAAATTAACGAAGCGAGTTTCACATTCAGGTAGTGCAAGAGGGTGATAGTCAGACGCTTGGGCATCAGAAAATAGTTCTGTGCTTATGTGCACTACTGTGATGAAAAAAAAAACAAATCTAGTCATGACGAGGAATAAGCTTGAATATACCAGAGACAGGCGTGCTTGACCGCTACTGGGGCCATGATACAACACTTACTGCGGCCATGGAGGACATGTTGGACACGACGCCATTGCATCTTTTCGTTCAGCACGAAACAAGGGTGTCAGCTGTCAGAATAAATCGTCTAAGCTTATAGAAAAACTGCAGCTTACTAGGTTGGTTACAATAGCACAAAGTCTTGCCCATAGTCGTAAAGTTGCAGAACCAACGCTTTACACAGTACAGAGGTCTTTCTTTTACCAGTAAACGGAATCGGCACTTTCTTAATTTGGAGCTCATAATAGATATGTGTTTTTATTAAGCACTACTGGTTAGAATGTTTATCTGTTCTTTTCAGAACTTAACCTTACGTTATCATGAGTTTTGAATTCGGACTAAGTATATGCACAGAAAATATGCAACTTTTATTTTGCTGGAATTTAAAATATCTAAAATTACCTAAAAACTAAGATGACCTGATTTTGGTCTACATATAGAAAGAAAAATAAAAATACATGAGTTTTCTAAGGCAAAGTAATTTTATTTTTATCGCAAGGGATATCACACCCGACCCAATAGACATAGTTTTTTCTGATTCTAATGGACAACAAACACGGTCAGTTCATGAAAAAAAAAGAAACTAAATAAACTTATATATAAAACTCCGATATTGATCAATTTAAAATTATCGATATATCGAAAATCCGATATTTTAAAAAATATCAACAGTCCTAGTTTGAACTGAATAGTTGGAGTAATCATTTGAACTGACCGTGTCTGGCGACCATAATAGTGTTAAACTCATTTTTGTTAATTTGTTTATTTACATCAAACTTAATTTCATCTTATTCTTCTCTCTTTTGTAAACTATTAAAATCTATTTTTTTTGTCAGTCGCAGTAGCCTAGTAGCTCAAAGGCTAAGTGCTCGTCGTAAATTTTACAGAAGGTACGTTATATAATCCGTGAATAATCCGTGTTCGATCGCTGCCAGCAGTTGTTTGTTACAATTTTAAGCACTGATTTACAACTACAAGGCTGTGAAGCAAAACATCGTTAGAATGTTGAACATGAAACTTGCATGTCTGGGAGACAAACATATTACAAGGACATGTATTTCTATAGAATAAGGGTAGCAAATTAATGAGTACACAGTCTACCTGATAGTAAGTGGATGCTGTGACATAGACAACTACATTTATTATCGATTAGGAATAAAAAAACAGATGCATTGTCTCTCCTGACGCCTGTGACCACTCACCATACGAAACGCTGACAATACCATTAAGCTGCTATTTCACGTCGGTTCTCTGTGAGTCCTTCCCCGGTCGCCCGACCCATTCTTGTTACAACAATGAAGGAGCTGCAACATAGCTTTACTACGTGAAGTCCTTATACAGAATGGGTCCCACATATATGCAATAAATGAAACCACAAGTAATACTAGTCCGTAGAAGTGTAGAAAAATTAAATATTAAATTAAAACCCGTAAAATAAAAAAGTGAAATTTTCAAACAAAATAAATATTAAAATAAATTCAGTAAAAGTGAACACTCTGTTTAGACAACGTGCCTTGACCCCTTGGAAGAGTGACAACGTTGCACACGGGTGGCACGCCGACAAAAGACACCGCTGTCGATATGTCGCAATACCAATAGTTTGCACTGCGTGGCAACGTCGCTTTTTAATTTTCAAGGATTCAAGTTCATTGAACCATTTACTTAGTGACCCAATTCTATAGTGTTCAAATTTGCTTAAAATTAAAACTCTACTTTCTGACCTAATTACTGGACCGATTACGTTCATTTTTTTGTATATCGTCACCAAAGGCGATAACAAGTATATGGTTTCATTTATTGCATATATGTGGGACCCATTCTGTATATACACTGGCGCAGCGTTACTAATTGCTCCACGATACTCTTAGAAATGAGAAGAAACATGTGCCCAGCTGTTGGACGTATATAGTTTTTTTATAATTTTTTATAGTGTGACTTTTTACTTTTGGCAGACTACCAGTAACTCTGAAAAAAAGTTCAAAATCTAAAATATCGAAATAAGTTTCATTTGAATATTACATCTCAATTGGAAATTTGATATAATTTTTTTTTGTTACTTCTTTCTGCTTATATGAACACTAATTATGGAATATGTTAGTAACTACACAGTTAGAACGTTTTCTATTTGCTCTGTGGTATGTGGGTAATTTTTTATGTGAATGATATGAGACGTACATTGTAATTATCTAGTTAACAATTCTTAGATAAGTAGTTAGTGACCCATTCTTGTATGTGGATAGTCTGATGGTAAATTAGCTGTTACTTCTTGGCATAAATCTTTGTAGACAGTTTCCATTTTTTCTCGCACCTGGTTTGTAAGCTTCTCGACATCGTCTAGGGTTAATCCTTTCGTAGGTATAGGATCCAAACATTGAATGACAATATGACCTGAAACAGAGATTGTTATTTTAGAAAAATTGACTCAGAAACTGTAATACACATTCAACTCATTTTCATTTTTGTGTCCCAATTGAAAATAACACTTCATTCATTCACTTAACAATCTGATAGTAAGTAAGTGTGTATATTCATTAGTCGTCCTTAAAACAAACATATAAGCTATGTATAAAGCCATTAATTTAGATGGATTTTAGAATCAATGTAAAGCGAATCTGTTTAAAATATTGTATATTACACTATAGCAAAATTGAGGAGAGATGTTAATAATTGTAAAATAATTTCAAATAATTGCAAATATACGCTAAATACACCTCTAAACTCTAAAGCTTTATTAGGCGTGTCATTCCTCTTTATTGTTTATCGGCCCATAATGAACTGAACCTCTCCAGTTGTGAAATGGTCAAAGTTGAAATATTTTTAAAATCAATCATTACAAAGTCCTTGTTGAAAGTCAGTTTAGAAGCGACGAAAAACCTTCAATTGAACCATTTTCTCGCATAGTTACAAATTACAATTTAACATTTTCGTAAGTCCTCGGATTTTTTTCAATCGCAACAATTTGAGATCGCAATATAACCCTTATATCTCATTAATAAGAGTCTATTAATGAGATATAAGGGGAAACGTGATAACCATTTTACCAAATGTCAATCTCATTGAAGGTGGTCTTTTTTGGATTGACGGGCGAGGTTCTGATGACCGATTAAATTCAAAAGTACCTTACTCAATTTCTAGATAAGCTCACTGCTTATATTAGCAGTGTGCGGGTATCCGCTCTGATTTCACCAGTTGTATAGGCAACTTTAATAAGAATTGCAAACTTTTTGACGCATTATTTAAGAGTTCTACATAGCAGTAGTACTTAGCAGCGACCTTAAGGAGACCGACGTTGCAATATCATGTCTATTATATTATTACTAAAGAACATTTTTTTTGTCTTACCTTTATTAAAAATACTTTTTTCATAATTTATAAAATAGTACGGTGAGAAAACAACAGGTATGACTGGGACTTGAGCAGCAATAGCCATATTGAATGCACCTTTTTTAAAAGGCAAAAAACTTGTGCAATGTTTGTTACGCGTACCTTCAGGAAACACCCAGATCTTCGTCTAAAAGTAAAAACAAAATTAAATTAAAAATTTTAAGCGAAATGTTTTTACCTATGTACATAATAAGTTAATACTGTATGCATTAATTTTATTCAACGATACGGATTACTCAAAACTTTATATAATAATGACCCATGGATGGTAATGTATAGTATGTTTATTTATTTGTATATATGATTCGTCCGACTCGTATGCTAATTCAAAGCTCCGAAAACTTTTAATTCAAATTTAAAAAAAATCAGCGTGTACAACTCTTAATCTCAAAAGTTTTGAATTTCAGTTCAAAAAGTTGTCAGAGCTGTTAGGCATAATATCCGGATATATATTGTCCGGCGATATTTTTATAATTAAATTTTTTAATTTTTACAATATTTTTATTACATAAGAAAGCATTTTCCCATAAATAGTTCAGCTTTATCAAGAAAAGCATTTTCATAGTCTGAGAATACCAATTTAAATCATCATTGTTTCGGTTAAGGGAATATTGATTACATTGAGATCGAATTGTTGATCCCTTCGTTAAGATGTATTTTACAAATCCGTTCATGAACAGCCGTGGCGATGAATAGGGTATTATTACCAATGATGAATTTAAATTAAAAAGTAAAATTAAATTACGACATTTCTATGGATGTTAATGATCATATTTATATACTCTGTTTTTAAGGATAAGTGTGACAATCGAGCGCATAGATCACCTGATGGTAATTGGTCGCTGTGTCCCAAAGATATCCACATCTATTCTTGATTACGAATCAAAATGCTGATGCCATTGCACCCGTGAGAACTAAGGTGGAATACCTCGTTTCCAGTAACAAGGGTCTCCGGATCTCTACACTCGCCATACGAAAAGCAGTGTTAAGCTGTTATTTTACACTGATATTCTGTGAGATTATCATCCTTTCTCGGTCGAGCCGATCCATTCCTGCTACGACTTTATTACTAATATAGTTGCAGAATGACTCTACCACATAAAGACTTTTCTTGATGAAGGCTTTCATCCAGAAAAATGCCTCTCCTCATTTCTAAGTCGATGAGAGAGCTGGAGAGAATTTTAGGCGTTGCGGTAGTGCGAGTTGACCTTATATGATGTTCTCGAAATAATTGGAATTTATATGTTAAACATATTATTTCTTCGTGATTTTTGATAATGTTAACGATTATGATTTACGATTAACGATTAAGTTATCTTCGCTCAACCACAGATAAAATACAGATAATAGATTAAATTCGTTAGCGATATTTAACACTGATCTCAATGTTGAATCAAACTTATCGCTACGTCTTTAAACAATGACGATGTTATTGACAATTTCACAAAATAAAAATGTAGACAACTCAGATGAAGTAAATGAGGTAGACACATACTTTTTACCAAATGTGATTATATAAATAATATTTTTATATAGAAATAGTTGACCGAAATTTCAACAATTTGGGGATAGGATAGATGTTTCACACTATATTGCTCTTGATTTATTCACTCTTATCACATTCTTATTCACGCCCACTTATTAAGCGTACACGTATCTCGCCTGCGTAAGTAGTTTGTAAATAAACTATGCTGTGGCGGTGCTATCGTTGCGAAAATCATAGAAGCCTTAATCACGCTACTAAAATTGCGAAGTACTCTGGCATATAAATAATTGCTTTGTTTTAACACACAGAGTTAGCATTCTTCATCCTCAAGTAAAAAGGTAGAGCAAACTGTCGTTAATACGCGAACTTCTCGTCTATAAACTTGCGTTAGGCCTATCAAGTTCCACGCAAATGTATGCTTAACTCACACGTACTTATAGAATTCCCCTATATGAGCTCCAAAAAATTCAAAATAATTTCATCCGGAAAGCTACCAGAGCTTCGGTGGTATCAATGAAATTCCAATTTACGCAGATACGGTGAATTTTCTCTCCGAATACTTCAACGAAATGTATCATGGTATTACATTGATAACGCCGAAACCTATTGTAACCCGCTAGTGGCAAACTTAGTCAACTATGTTGAAATCACAAACGTTGTAACCGGTTGCCTGTTAATGCTCCTAATACTATCATTCATATCTTTCATGCCTCCTTTTTCTCATGAAACTTTCACTTGTTCTCTTGTAGACGAAGACCAGATACGCTAAGCACTTTATTTTATTAAATCGAAAGGCATTGGCTGTGATGATGTGAGTAGGGTAATTGTTTTGCACGTGATGGAGACTATTTTAACTATGACAACTCAATCAATAACTTCTCGTTTACAAATGGTGCTTTTCCAACTCTCTGGCGTAAAGCCTTTGTTACTCCCATACCTACACCGACTGCAGCACTATATCTAATTTTAGTTAATTTTTCTATCCTCATTTTTCTTTCTAAGTTTCCGAAAAGTTGCTCATAAACAGATTTCTTATTTTGTTTTCTCAAAGAATATTCTTTGCTCTCATCGGTCGGGTTTCCGCCCTGGTCATTCGTGACGGAAGATATCCATTCGGAGACGGAAAAAGCCATATTGGCCGTTCGCAACTTAAGAGATTTTTGTAACTGTTGTTCTGTTGATTATGATGTTTTATTAGCTCTTCTTTCTCATTTGAATATCTAGTCTTCAGTTCAGGAATGGCTCTCTTCATATCTTTGAGGGCACCAATAGGCCTTGCGTACTGAACATAAACTATCTGACTGGTATCAAGTGTCCACTAGTGATGAAATTGATAAAAACGGAAAACAGAAGAGGAAAGATAATACCAACTAGATTCAATTATTATCTCTCCTCTTCTTTTTCCATTTTTATCAATCTCCTCACATTAAATCTCATGTGCTATTACCATCTGTATGCCGATGATTTGCAGTTATTTGAGCAAGTGGAAACCTCAACTACTGATAGATTTCAAAAAATAATTTAAGCACTCGAAAATGCTGAGCTAAAAGTATCGTCTCTTAAGGCACAGATAATTAATATGGAAGCAGAATTTAATGAGAAAACATCATTGGATTTGATTAAATAACGTCGAAACGAAGGGAGAACCATTTAAAACTGGAGAGAAACTGACATTGTAACTAAATTAGAATTTAAAATAACTAATCCCGCATTGGAGATTAATACTAATTACGTAACACGTGTACAGACGCGAGATGCTGGGCCTAACAAGACCAAGGCTATTATTCCTTTTATTAGCAACAAATACATGAAAAAGGATTTCAAGATTTCATTGCAGCTTCAGCGCTATCTTCGAGGGGTATCTCAATATTAAATTATGATTTGAAATACATCTTTGAATGGTCCACTGTGTATGGCACAAACGTGAACCCGTCTATACCAATCGATAATTTTAGGTAGCCCAAGATTATTGTCTAAGTTAGATTTTTCCACCTTACCATTACTTGTTTAGTAATAAAATCATACCATTTGCTCCCATGTATAGTATCTTGATCTATGGGTTGATGATTAGGCAATATGGAACAAATATATAGTGTAATATTGCGAGCTCTATATCGATAAAAAACATTATTACTACGATCCTATTGGTCCTGTTACTTATTCCGACAATTATTATCGATTATGTCGATAAATGTTGTCTAAACATTATCTTAATACATTGGATCGTCTGCTTAACAACAACATCAGATATATTTCTTCGTAAATACGACCATGTCTGCGCAGATATGTTAGAATAATATGCACTTTTTCACAATTCTGAACGATCCATGTGCTTTCGAGTATTTGAAATCCAAATTTCAATAACTGGGAGATTCTCATAACTGTTCTCTCCGTTCATCGGGTTATCTTAAGTTTCTCAATCCTTTACACAATAATGGTTAATTATCTCACTCTTTCACCCTCACGGCAATTAGACTCTGGAACGACATCCTTCTTGACATTATAAAAGCTCCAATCAGTTTGTTTTGAAAAATAGAGTCTGTAAGTATGTAAAGTATCGTTGCAAGTTGACTATATCGTTGCAAGTAAATTAATATAGCTCGTACTTTCATATATATTTCATATTAGATCTGACATGGACAATATTTATATGTAATAGGTAGATGAAATTTTAGTTATTGTCATCCCTTTCTATTTTGATTACTGCTGTACCCCTTATATGTCAATCACTGTTTAGCTAAATAGTTCACTGGAAGAGAATACCCTATAGCATTTAATACGCCATATGTATTACTTTGTGTATAAATAGTTTACAAATTTCAAAAGTGCACGCTTCATGCGGGTTTGATTTTTGATGATAAATATGCATTGAATTCCTGACTTATAAAATATATTATTTACGTGTTTTAAATTTAACGCTTTATTATTTTAATAGATAAAAATATTAATAATGTTTAGAGAAATAAATCGATTACACAAAGCATAAAATCGATATAGGCTGTATTGTACATTTGTTGTATGAAAAGGTCTTTAAACTTTTAAAGCAATAAAACTTATTAAAGTTGAAAATAATTTTATTTACAAACTACGAATACTAGGCTACTGAGACGAAAAAGGGGACCAGTTGAAGTAGTTCTTAAGCTAATTAAAAACCCGATCTCGATACGTCAGTTTTTTCGAGAATTATCGTGGCCACATACAAAATCCACACACAAAATTGCGTGACCTTGACATTTCGTGAATAAAATACTACCAAATAACACTTCGCGTTAAGAGGGGTGCAATTCATTACAACATTTTATTAATTTATAGGTACAACACGGAACATTGGCCGATCTCTGGGCTGAACACCATGACCAGCGGGAGATCTCTCTTTTTCCTTACAAGGCGAAAGTCACAACATAATTTAATTTGCAGAATGAGTAGTAATAATTTATAATGTATGTCTGTCAGAGGGCGCCGTGGAAGTTCAAGCCTAGGGCGCTGTCTTTAATCTGTCTCCGCCTACCTTACCATCTAACCAGCAGCAAGAGACCACGAATCTCACCACTGGCTACACGCGGCAGCGTTAAGTAAACTTGTCGCATGTTCATGAACCTTTCTCGGTTGTATGACTCTTTTTTGCCTTCCTATCTCTGCTACGAAGCGTTAATGTTTGCACTACTGTGTTCCACTAAGAGGTAACAACAAATTTTTGTAGCCTTCTTTGTTTGAAGTTGGCGGTGATAATGGGCTGCAGTAACCACTTACCATTAGATGGACTGTAAGTGAGTTTGACCTTCAATTTTCATTATAGTAATATTATATCTTTAGAATATAAATATGTATTTACAAACCTTTTCTTTCACCATAACGTCTGTCGTTATTTTAAGTTGCTCATATGCGTGTTTAGAGTTCTTTCTATCTATAAATACGATTCCAGAAAGGTATGCCAACAATCCAAACGGAAAGGCATACATTAATTTTATGCCTTTCCGTTTGGATTTTTTAGCAATGACTGTTAATTTATCAACCAATTCCCAGATGTTAAACAGTCCTGAAAAAAATGAAAATGATGTGTTTAAGATATTTTCTTGGGAAAGATGTTACGACTTTGTGGTATAAGTTAGTCACAGAAAACCTTACATCTGTATTAGGTGTTCTGTGAGGTTAGTAGTTCAGTCGTACTTAATATTTACAAATATTTTAGGTTTGAGTGAAATATAATTGAGATCGTTCAATGTGCCAGAATTTTCATTATTCAATTTCGATGGTGAAATGTCTGGTTAGGATGGTTGCAATCGACTCTTGCTAATGTATGCCTTCAATCATTGAAGTTATTCTTAAACTAATCATCAGTTAGTATAGTCATTGTTTGACCACAATCCAACCTAGTGGTGAGTGTTAATAAAGCCTTAGATTAATTATAATATTATAACTTTTTATCAATAACGTACCTAAAATATCGAGAGATGATCGATGGTTTGAAACAATGATGGCTCCACGTTCCTCAGCTAATATTTCGCCTCTACGTAGCTCCCATTTTAGGTCATACAGTTTTGTTACATGTTTCAAAATAGACGCACTGAATCTGTCATAAGCGAAATATTATGGTTCAGTAGAAAAGCTCTGGATTATATTTTTACAAATGGATGTTCACGATGTCATGATGGCACGCAAATAATCACCTCCTGAGCTCGATATAAGGCTGTTATTTTGACATTACAGTCATACACTTCAGTTTTATTTATATCTATAGATATCTAGTACTCGTTAAGTAATTTCGTCATATGTCATAATATGTCCATGAATCTTTCTCGGTGGTATGACTCCTCTTCTACCTCTGCCCATTTCTGCTATCAAGTATTAATGCTTGCTTTGCTGTGTTTCTGTCTAAAGGATTTTTAGATTCAGTATTATTAAAGACTGTAAGGTTCTCCGTTTTAGTCCTGACGTGATTACGAATTTTGTAGAATGCATTGTTTGAAGTTTATTGCAGATGCTATTTAAATTTTTTACTACTTCTTTTTATTGACCTGGATTTAGGTTGGTAGCGAATGCTCTGTGACATTGGGCCTGCTTTCCTGTGCGCGTTCATGTATTATGCATAAGTAAATAAATAATTAAGTGAGTTTCTCGGCGACCAAGAGTACGGTTTACAAATTAGAGGTTTCAGTGAAACACGTACTCTCGTCGCAGGGGTTCAAAACTCAAGCATACCACTGCAACATTTCAAGGTGTACTAAGCTCATTCTGCGTGGATTGGGCTAAAAATAATAATTAAAAGCTGAAGGTATCCCGGGTTAACTTTGACATCGTAACGTCAATCACCTCAGTCCCCCATAGGTCGGGAATTAAAATTATTAAGGCAGTTATTAAAAAACATTGAGTGATAGATTATTTATTTGGTCTGGTTGTGTCTTGTTTTTATGCCCCATATATAAAGGGCGGACTTAATGCCCTATGGAATTCCCTAACAGTCTAACTTGAAATATGTAGAAGTAACTTTACAACGGGTTTTAGTCCTGACGTTGATTACTGAATTTTGTACGTATGCATATGTTTTTGTAAGTTTATTGCAGATGCTAGCCCAAATATCTAATTAAACTGAATTTTTTTCCCGATAACAATACAATGATTTTATGACTACGACCTAGTTTTTTCACTAGCATAATCTTAGTTTATAACTGGTGTGTGCCGTTTAAATTTACTGCGTTATTGGTCTAATGGTTGCTAACGCGACTGCTGATCATAAGGTTCCGCGTTCCAATACCGAATCGGCCCAAAACCTTATAATTTTTTTAAATTAAAAAAAAAAAAAACATCTATATTTCATCAAAGAAGATAGCTGGGTTATTAGCACCTGTTTCGAATCTTGTGATTCGTAAAATTAAACTAAACCAAAGTATACCACTGCAAGATTTCAAGATGTAGTAAGCTCATTCTGCGTAGATTGGACTATAATATTAATTTAAAGCGTTAATTTTGACTTCGGGATGTCAATCACCTCAGTGATGTGTGTTGCAAAGCATCCGAAATGTCGGGAATGAAAATAAGAAAAATTAAAAGCGATTAAATTTCGTAAAATAATTTTATAAAATGTGTCGTATTTTAGACAACTAGATAAAAACTATGTTTAATGTGGTTTTTCAATAACTTAACTTATTGCATAAAAACTATTACTATACCTAAATCTGAAGATGTTTTGTGTTCTATGCATACGAAGTCACAGTTAAAAAATACGTAAGATTGTATATTTATATGATAAGGAATACGACACTTCATCGTTGGCGATAAATCAAAATTTAAAAATTTATTATTTCGTATTTCATATAATATAAAAAGAATGAAGAATTATTATTTATTATTTTATGTTGTTGTTTTATGTATCTACTACTGTTGAGTTTGAGAAAATTTCACACATTTTGATCATGAGCTGTGAAAAGACATGTAGATATTATCATTTGTTTTTAATAGGTGGGAAATCGAAGCTAAATAATAAACCTTAAGATTTTATTATAAGATAAAGTGCAAGATTGTATCAATGATGTCTGCATTTTTTTATAGAATAACGGTGGGTTAACAAACGAACGCACAATCCACCTGATGATCATTGGAGACCGTGGCCTATAAACTTTTTCGTTGTCACCCCTTAGGACTAAGATGAATCTTGAAAGATGAAACTGAAAAGATGCAACGTTTCCAGTAAAAGGAGCTCCGGTTTTATACAACTAAATTTTTCAATACAACAGATTCTTCAGAATATTCGAACGTCCGGAAGTAAATGAAACCTGAATTTTTAAAGTCCCTTACACTTTTAAATTCATATACATATTAACATGTCATGTAAATAACATTAGGGTTTAAAGAAAATTAAGACAACGTATATTAATAATGACGCACGTATTAGCTGTAATGAACCTTGTAAGAATAATTATCATAGGTATGAATATATTGTACTGTTGTCAGTTCTTAATATGTCTGAAAAAGTTCAGATAATTCGGTCGTTTAGAAATAAATCGAAACTGAATTATAAAATTCCATTTCATTCATTCATACATACATAAATAAAGCGCACGCTAATATAAATATTTTAATAATAAAATTGTGTTAATTTTATTGATTTTTATCAAAGAGTTTGTCAATTAAAGATTTGCTGAAACACTGAAAATATCAAAATTAGTTTTTTTTATTAAAATGAATGATTAAAAATATTTCGAAGGTATGTGGGGCGTGTAAAGGCTGTAATACTTAATATATGAACATATTCTAAATTACCAGCATATGCAATGCACAAACTTTATATAAAATGATGTTCTATAGGAAAGTCTCTAATGTGATGTAATAAATTAGAATAAATACTTACTTAGAATTAGAAACACTTTTAGGCCTTAATAATAAAAATGGTAAAAGTACTAAGGACACTAAGCAAAAGCTAAAGTAATATATAAAGAAAAATAAGTAAAATTTTATTTTGCTAGGTTCAATGTGAGAAATACTTTTAGAAAATAATGAAGCAGTTAACAAACACATAAAAGACAACAAAAATATTTCCTGCCACATTTTTGCAACATAACGCAACACAATTTAATAAAAGATTGATACGTTTACCGCCATTGAACCAGCGAATATACTGACTGAGAATCGGATAATAGTAACATTAAGTTTCAATCGGTTCGAATTTTTTAAAGTAGATGGAAGAGCGGCCTTGCGCGATTATGCGTAAATTGTCAGTATTTACATTTAAACATTGGGATGATATTTGTAAAATTTTTATCATTGTTTAACATCTGTTTCTAACACGTAAAAATAAAGCAGTCGCTGCTTTTATAAATGCGGGACGTGCGTAAACAGAGTATAGATTTTACTCGACGTTATTTTTGTCGAAATAAAATGAACAATTATATTTGCGTTTATACATAGGCCACGACACTGGTTATGTTATCGTACATAAGTGAATAAATTAAATAAATGTGAAAGTTAACGACGTAAATTAATGAAAATTGTTCATAGATTTATTCGATCGAACACATTATCCAACATCAATGTCGATTTATTTCACCGTAAGATAATGTATTCCGAGGAAGAAGTATCGGGGTTGTTTTTGGGTTCCTAATTCGGATTTAGTCCTATGGCTAGGTAAACAATGAACAGAATAATTGTTAAATAAAACTATTTTTTTATTTTATATTTGCCATGTATCAGTTAAGAATATCCACTACCCCATATCTTCCCTTGGGTGTAGTAAAAGGCGATAGAGGAAAACAGGCAGGAGAGGGGAGCATCATCTTTCTAATACTGAAACCGCAGTTTTCAACCCGGTCGCCAAGCGTGCCAACTATGGCAATATACCCCATATGAGCAACAACACAACTAGACGGCCCCCAGTCCACGGCGGCACCGCTATTCCTGGCTACGGTGGGTAGCATGATAACGGCGGGGCAGGGGGTGCTAAGAATCTCTGGTAGAGGTTCGATTGTCACCTAAAATTACTCGACTTGGCAACATACAACGCACGCACCCTGAGGACTGAAGTTAAGATCCTGGAGCTGGAAGAAGAGATAGGCAAGTTGCGCTGGAATATTATAAGATTATCCGACATCCGAAGAGAGGGGGAGGACACGGTGATTGAGGTGTTGGATTTGTCGTTCACAAGCCTCGCGTTAACAACGTTGTAAAGATTGGGAGTGTGTCAACGAGGGTTGCGTACCTTATACGCAGAATCACCAAACGGTCGGTACGGGAAGTTAATGTCAGTATTTTACGAAGAGCGTTTAAGTATAAATATCTTGATTTATATTCTGACTCCTCATCTAAAGATGATGATTATATTGAGAGTGAACGGAGGGCGTTGTCAGTAAGAGCGAATGCGAGCGATGATAGCTCGTAGGTTTGCACACTGTTCAAACGAAGTTGAAATAGCCCTATTTAGAGCCTTCTGCATGTCATTTTACATGCGCAGCCTGTGGGCTAGATATACTCAAAAGGTTTACAATATAACAACGCATTTAGGTTGCTGCTGGTACTGCCTCGCTTCTGTAGTGCATCGGGGATATTCACGGAAGCGCGAGTGAACTGCTTTTACGCGACTATGCGTAAGAGGTGCGCGTCTCTGGTGCGCAGGGAGCGGAGTAGCAACAATAGTATCCTAAAGATGATTGCGAGCAGACTGGACTGGCTATACATGCGCCATAGTAGTGCCATATCGGGTGAATTAGTGAGAAAATGGCACATCCATATCCATATTAATATTATAAATGCGAAAGTGTGTTTGTTTGTTTGTCCTTCTTTCACGTCGCAACAGAGCGTCGGCATGGCATGATTTTTTGTATGGGGATAGTTCGGTGGCTGTAGAGTGACATAGGTTACTTTTTTCCGCGGAAAAACATCTTATTCCCGTGGGAAAATAGAATATGTTGCAAAAGTTTGTCCTTCTTTCACGACGCAAAAGAGAATTTTTGTATGGGGATGTTCGGTGGCTGTAGAGTGACATAGGCTACTGTTTTCCGCGGAAAAACATCTTATTCCCGTGGGAAAATGGAATATGTTGCAAAAGTTTGTCCTTCTTTCGCGTCGCAACAGAGCATTGGTATGGCATGAATTTTGGTATGGGGATAGTTCGGTGGCTGTAGAGTGACATAGGCTACTTTTTTCCGCGGAAAAACATCTCATATCCGTGGGAAAATCTAATATGTTGCAAAATTAAATTCAGCAAGGTGGCGCCACCGTGATTCTACAAGAATGAGATGTTTTCTGCGGAGAAAAGTAGCCTATGTCACTCTACAGCCTCATTCCCGTGATAAAATCGAATATGTTGCACAAGTTTGTCCTTCTTTCACGTCGCAACAGAGCGTCTGCATGGCATGATTTTTGTATGGGGATAGTTTGGTGGCTGTAGAGTGATATAGGCTACTTTTTCAGCGAAAAAACATATCATTCCCGTGGGAAAATCGAATATGTTGCAAAATTAAATTCAGCTAGGTGGCGCCATCGTGATTCTACAAGACGGACGACGGTACGATGGACGAACACAGAAGGTTAGAATATCTGGATTATTATGTCATTTTACCATTTACCAAAAAATTTATGGATCTGTAT